GGTTCTGCCTCCAGAGTGAGGCCAAAATAGTTCTATAAAAGTGAAAATATATAATCCTAGAAACTCTTTTTCTCTACTCCTGCACATCTTCAAGGAAGGTTAAGAAGAGCAGGAAACCCTTTACCAAACTAGTATTTTTTATGAACTTTAGGGCAGTTAAATTCTGCCTCCAGGATGGGGCCAAAATGGTTATATATGTATAGTGAAAACCTACAGGATTTTAGAATCCCTTTTCTCTTCTGCATCATCAAGATCATGAAGCCCTCCATCCAATTTTTTTTTTTTACCCTTAAGTCCTGCCTAAAGGGAGGGCCAAAAATGGCCGTGTAGAAAACAAGAGGCCCAAGGACCTTTAAGGTCACCTGAGTATATTACAACAATTTAGACGATCCATAGAAGTATAAAATAAACTGATATATGAAGCTTTATTACCCGAAAAAAAGAGAAATAGGATGATCAGGATCAATGAAATAATTAGTCTAGTATTCAGTAACAACTCTTTAAAAATTTTGGAATAAGCACCCTTGCTCATCATAACTATGCACTTTGTTTATCTGCTCAATACCCAGGAGCAGACAAGATTATAAAATAGAATTAATGCATATTACTCTATTATCAATAGATCCCACCCTTGCACCAGAACATCTGACCCAGGGGCAATGAAACTCACAATTCTGGAAGAAGCCTCCTTGTTCATCAAAACTATACACTTAGTTTCTGTGCTTTACAACCAGGAACAGAAAAGAATATTTTCAAAGAAATTATGCATTTTTACTATTTAATGCACTTTGTTTATCTGCTCAATACCCAGGAGCAGACAAGATTATAAAATAGAATTAATGCATATTACTCTATTATCAATAGATCCCACCCTTGCACCAGAACATCTGACCCAGGGGCAATGAAACTCACAATTCTGGAAGAAGCCCCCTTGTTCATCATAACTATACACTTAGTTTCTGTGCTTTACAACCAGGAACAGAAAAGAATATTTTCAAAGAAATTATGCATTTTTACTATTTAATCAATACAGCCCCCCCCCCCCCCTCCTCTTTCACCAGAACCCCGGACCCTAGGATCAAGAATTTGTTTACATAATACCCAGAGCAAAGAAGATTTTCAAAGAATTAATGCATTTTCACTATATATTCAATAGAGTTCCCCCTCCTCTTCAACACCAGGAACCCTGACTCAGGGGCCATGAAATTCACATTTTGGAAGAGGCACCCTTGCTGATCATGACCATATACTTTGTTTACATAATACTTAGAACAGAGAAAAAGATTTTCAAAAATTAATGCATTTTCATGACACAATCAATAGAGCCCCCTACCAACACCAGGACTCTGGAGACATGAAATTAACAATTTTTGAAAAAGGCACCCTTGTTGATCATAACTATATACTTTGTTTGTTTACATAATACCCAGAAGCATAGAAGAAGATTTTCAAAGAATTAATGCATTTTCACTATATAATCAATAGAGCCCCCCCCCCCTTCAACACCAGGACCCAGGGACCATGAAATTCACCATTTTGGAAGAGGCACCCTTGCTGATCATGACCATGTACTTTGTTTACATAATACTTAGAACAGAGAAAAAGATTTTCAAAAATTAATGCATTTTCACGACACAATCAATAGAGCCCCCTACCAACACCAGGACCCTGGAGACATGAAATTAACAATTTTTGAAAAAGGCACCCTTGTTGATCATAACTATATACTTTGTTTGTTTACATAATACCCAGAAGCATAGAAGAAGATTTTCAAAGAATTAATGAATTTTCACTATATAATCAATAGAGCCCCCCTCTCCCTTCAACACCAGGACCCTGGGACCATGAAATTCACCATTTTGGAAGAGGCACCCTTGCTGATCATGACCATATACTTAGTTTGTTTACACAATACACAGAGCAGAAAAGATTTTCAAAAAATTAATGCATTTTCATGATACAATCAATAGAGCCCCCTACCCAACACCAGGACCCCTCACCCAGGGGGCCATAATATTCACAATTTTGAAAGAGGCACCCTTGCTGATTATTACCATGTAATACAGTACTTAGTTTGTTTACATAATACCCAGAGCAGAGAAAATTTTCAAAGAATTAATGAATTTTCACTATATAATCAATAGAGTCCCCCCCCCCCCCCAACACTAGGACCCCAGGGGCCATGAAATTCACAACACTGGAAGAGGCACCCTGCTGATCCTAACCATATACATGTACTTAGTTTGCTTATAATAACCAGAAGCAGAGAAGATGATTTTCAAAAATTAATGCATTTTCACTATATATTCAATAGAGCCCCACCCTAACAACCGGAACCCCTGACCCAGAGGCCATGAATTTCAAAAATTTTGGAAGAGGCGCCTTTACTCATTATAACTATATACTTGGATTGATTAATAGACAGGAGCAGAAGAGTAGATTTTCAAAGAAATGATGCACTTTCACCATATAATCGATGGAGCCCCCCTCCCACAGAACCCCTCAGCCTGAGACCACAAATTTCACAATTTTAGAGGAACCCTTGCTCATCAAAACTATGTACTTAGATAGTTTGTTTAATACACAGGGGCAGAGAAGATTTTCAAAGAAATTTTCACTATATCATCTACATAGCTCCAGAACTCCTTACCCCGGGGCCGTTAATTTAACAATTTTGGTAGAGGACTCAATGCTTATTACAATCATGCCAACAGTTAGACTGCTTGTTGTCCAGGAGTAAAGAAGACTTTTAAAGATTGCATTAAATTTGGTGGTTTTAGCCCCACCCGTCAGGCCCCCCCCAGGGGGTAGGGAGCATGAAATTCAAATTCACATTCACTCATAAATGCTATATGCCAATTGGAATTGGCAGCAGTTCCAGAGAAAAAACTGAAAATGTTAACACACTGTGCACAACACACAGGGATGGATGAAAACGGATAGCAATAAATCACCTGAGTGACTCAGATGACCTAAAAATGAGTGCATGGTTAGAAAGAGCATGAATCTCTCTACTAAAATACTGGATTCAGGCTGCAGAGTGGGGCTAAGTTTGTCATATGTTGAAAATGTACTTTATCTTCTGAAATTTTTATTCATGGACATTTAGCAGGCAAAATGTTTGCTTGCATGATTTTAATGAGTACTTGCCATTTAACATGTTTTAGAAATTCATGACCCTGGATTTATATTATAAACCCTTATTTATCTCACCTAGAGGGAGACTCACCTATTTACTCAATGTTCTTCACATTGATAATCGGAGAAAAAATGAACAAAACTGTTTCTAAAATTTATCAAAATTGAGAATAGAGGTAACCAGTTCTTGGTGCAATACTCCCAGAACATATCTTCTTAAACGAAATGTGCATTCCAACCAAGATATACATGCCAAAAAATCCCATGCCTGAATCCTACAAATACAAAATTCTAAAACCAATCCCAACTTTTTGATCACTTGAAATTCAAAGACAATGAAAATTTGATAAATACAACTTTATTTTTATTCTAAAAAATAACATGCCAAAACAACAAACAAATATTAATATGATCTATTACACAACCATATTCTGATCTCTAGTCTGAAAAAAATAAAATGAACTTTTTTTCTATCCATGTTCAAATTTAGCACATCAGTCAGATATTAAGGCAAACTACTACATGTATATACAGGGAAATTTTCACCTCAACTTTATTTTCGCCCCTTCAACCCTGGTTGTCAGTGGGTGAATTCAACAGAGACTGTTATTTCTAGATCTGTTCTAACACAACCGTGTCTGTGCAAATTTGAAATCAGATAAAATCTTTTGGAAGTGTGTTGGGGTGAAAATAACACAGAAAAAAACTAACCATGTATGCATGTACATAGGCCTTATATGTACATATTGTAAATATGAAAAATCAACATTTTGAAAGGAAATTTTTTTTAAATACTACAATTACTGCACTTTTAAAATTGGAATACCCCCAAATTTTGTGTGTTCGGTACATTTAAAAATTAAATATTGTCTAACTGGCAATTTTTGTGGCTGTCCAAATAGAAATGCATATATACTCCTTTTAATAGAGATAACTGTTTATACATTCTAGCATTTACAGTTAATTACATTCTTTAAATATACAACAAACACTAATATATAGTACACGTATGATACATCTTCACCTTGAAAACAAAAGCAAAATCTCCATGTAATTTTTTAAGAGCAATCAAATCTTAACTGCTCTAAAATAGTTATCATTTAAAGTTCTTTAAATACTAGCATCTGAAACAATGTAATTGTTCCTCAATGCTACCATGCTAGAAAAAACAATGCATGTGATTTAATCCATGATCAAAAACATTTACTCAGTCATTGTGATAGTCTTGAAATCCTAGTGGCCTATTTTTACCCCATCCATCTGCACAGGGCTGCGTTCAAGATCATATTGGCTAATCTAGCAGCTAGGTTGTAGGTATCTATCTCTATTGAATGGACAGCTAACCTAGCCGCTAAGTGTTAAATTTCAAATATAAATATATCAGTATAAACTTATTTTTGGAGCAAAAAAGTTTATTTCAAGCGAAAATATGTATGTTAAATACATTTAATATGCTAAGATGTACAAAATAATTCCCATTTAGTTAAAATCATATGTGCTGCAAAGTTGTAACTAAGGAGGCCATCTTGGATTTGGTACTTAGCATCAAATATTTATGCTCGCTCTCCCTACATAGTGACTAGGCTAGCTCTCTATTCAAGAGCGTAGCTTTACGTAGATGCTACTGTTAAACAACCCAGATTACATGGAGTCTTGAAAACCTTGTAGTCTATTTTTACCCAATCCATCTGCACAGATTACATGGAGTCTTCAAATCCTAGTGCCCTATCTTTACCCCATCCATCTGCACTGATTACACAGAGTAGAACTGAGTAGCAGCTGAGGACTGCACCTCCACCTGACCCAGTTTGAACTGTATGCGCTTCAGCCATGTCAACAAGATATTAAAGGACGCCTGGTCCTTAGATGTACTGGGGGGTTTCCAATTCTCCACTGTCTGGAGTCTCACTTGTAAATGACCAGGCAACTGTGAAAATGAATAAGTAGCAATATAGAAGCCTGAGTCATTTTGAACAATGAGGCCCAATAGTCTGTAGCATTTCTATCAATAAGGCATAAGGGTCTTCAGACTCTCATGATGCAAATATTAATTTTGTTTTACCTTTACAAATGAAATAGATGATGGATATACACTATACTAAAACCTAACAATTTATGCCTATGAATCATCATATTTATACTTAGGAAATTGGCTAAAAAAGAGTAATGTAAAGGAAAAGAAATATATATAGGACCAGACTGAAAACAATATACTCTAAATCTTCAAACTTAGGTAAAAATGTGTCTGATGAGCACTATTTATTAACAGAATTCCTTACCTGTGAGTGGTAGGTGAACAAAATTGAGGTCCACATGGGGTACAGTTTGGCCAGAACAGAAGAATTGCACTCCCTTAAGGCCTCCATCAAACTTAGGAAATGGAGATTGACCATTTCTGCCAACTGTAAATGTAATATACAGTCAAGTACTATACATAAAGCTGTTCATCTGCATCTCAACAATATCTTTTAACCAACAAGCCCCAAATGTCAAGCACAAAAAAATATCGACCAAAACATCTGGATTTATACAAAAAATGCAAAGATATTTTTAAAAACAGAAGAAAAAAAGGCAAGGATTTTAGCTCAAACATATCAAGAAACCCAGATTTCCCTCATATACTACTAGTGGAATATTCCTCAATCACAAAACATTTCAAGGGAAAATTTAAAACACAGAACACAATAACCTTTGAAGCTTTGCTACAAAAAAATTCACTGGACCATACCATTTGAAGATGGGTCATCTATTGTCATGCATTTTTAAATGGGCAAAACATCAAACAAACCTGTCTCTGTGGTCTCTCATGCTATAAACCCCATGGTGCAATTAAAAGAGCAATACATGACTTAATATATTTTGAATAAATTGTGGTATGTTTTCTAAAATAAATCCTTTCTGTAAAATTATTTTGGTAAAGACAAGGGCTGCCAGAAAATAATGTATTCAAGAATTAGACATTTGAGTAAGTTCATATATGTATGTTATTGTGTTATTGTTTCGTTTAAATCAGTGACAACACTTAAAATTGCCTCTTTAAAATCTAATGATTTACCCTAGAAGCTAAATGAAAGTAATTATACCTCTTTAGGAGTGTTTAACATCTGCAGAATCCCTGGAGTGACACGCCCCCAAAAGTCCATCACCATTGTGGAGGCCAGTTTGTGGTTCTCACTGTCCACAGGATACTGGGCAGCAGTGGACTCGCAGTACATTGTCCACAGCTAAAAATAAATTTTAAATTGAAAGGAGTCTGTGATCCACGTATTACCAACAGATGTATCTTGGAAAATTATTATGGTATTGACTGTTTTATTATTTATGTTCACAATACCTGGCAGAGAATAAAAGCATGGAACAGGGAACTCATGTGCAACACCGAGTCCTGAAATCAGAAAAATAAAAAATGCTGTAACAAGTTTAATTTTACTTATACAGGTAGCATTGGGTACATTCAAAAATGCACATGCCATTAGAAATGCTAAAGCTAGCATGATTTACTAATAAAATCATGGCACTGATATAGGGTACATGAATATATAAATCTTAGTTTAATATACAGAGTCTGTTTGCTCATTATGCAAAATGAAACAACACAAATCTTTAAATAATGGTATTTACAAGAAATGGACTTATAAAATACATTAAGTTTTCAAATTGTTTTCCAAAAGAAGCAAAGGTTGAAAAAAAGAAGAAGATTTTATAGATCATCAAGTCATCACAGTGTATCAAGATTCTGTGTTAAATGGTGCAGTACACTTAGTTGACTACAAAAATACAATATCATTCATACCTTCATGTCCTTAAAATATGAAAATGCAATTTTCAAAATTAAAATGAATACAAAATTCTTAAATGTTAGAATTAAGTGTAAACATAAAGACATAACTAACACTATGATAGAAATGAAAAAGACAATAACATTTACAATGAACATCATAGATACTTAGTCAAATAATTTAATAAGTATTAACCTTTGATCTCTCATCAAAACCAGTCATGATAACCAACACATGTTCTGCAATGTAGGAACTAGCATCCAGAGGAATCGGCTGACAGGAAATGGGGGCAGTTCCTTCTGTCATTCCTGTGTGAGTCAGGGAACCAATCAAAAGCCAAGAAAGAAGACGTATGTGGCCAATACAGTCTGTAAACTCCTTTGGACTAAAATAAGGATATATTTATTAACTTCATATAAGTATCAACAATTCACACAAATTTTGCAATCAGATGGTAAAGTATATCTAAAACAACAGCACCACAAAATATCCCATATCTTATCTTCAGGTTCTAAAACATGTCATCTATACTTTTTCATTAGAACCTTCTCACTCTTGACACTGTTCAACTGTTATATATCCTTAGCATTGAACCTCTGTTGTAGAAAATTACTGTATCATCAGAACCTTACCCTTCTTGTACAGTAATATATCATCAGAACCTTATACTTGTTGTACAGTAATATATCACCAGAACCTTACCCCTGTTGTATAGTAATATATCATCAGAACCTTACCCCTGTTGTACAGTAATATATCACCAGAATCTTACCCCTGTTGTACAGTAATATATCATCAGAACCTTACCCCTGTTGTACAGTAATATATCACCAGAATCTTACCCCTGTTGTACAGTAATATATCACCAGAACCTTACCCTTGTTGTACAGTAATATATCATCAGAACCTTACCCTTGTTGTACAGTAATATATCATCAGAACCTTACCCTTGTTGTACAGTAATTTATCATCAGAACCTAATACCCCTGTTGTACATTAATATATCATCAGAACCTTACCCCTGTTGTACGGTAATATATCATCAGAACCTTACCCTTGTTGTACAGTAATATATCCCTAGTGTATAGTAATATATCACCAGAACCTTACCCCTGTTGTAAAGTAATATATCCCTAGTGTACATTAATATATCACCAGAACCTTACCCCTGTTGTACAGTAATATATCATTAGAACCTTACCCCTGTTGTACAGTAATATATCATTAGAACCTTACCCCTACTGTACAGTAATATATCATTAGAACCTTACCCCTGTTGTACAGTAATATATCCCTAGTGTATAGTAATATATCACCAGAATCTTACCCCCTGTTGAAATTAATTTATGACCAGAATCTTACACCTCTTGCACTGTAGTTTATCATCAAAACCTTACCCTTGCTGTACCGTTGAGGGGGGATGATAGAGCCAGGGTAGGTATCGAGAAATTGCTCTGTTGTCACGGCCATTGCCACGAGTGATCTCCAAGGCAACAAACTGAGCTATCCCCGACTTCAGTTGATTTCCAAGTGTGTCCTCATTCAGATAGCTGCTTCCTCCCCCTTTCATATTGTTCTGCAAATACATACCTATATACATATATTTAAGAAATGCACTGTCATTAGTTTTCTTGTAATGTGTCCAAGTAATGGGTAGCATCCAGTTCTAATCATTATTAAAAATATCTTTTCATGTTCACCTTAAACAGCCCAAGGTAAATGTGTCTGGATATTAAAAGTATGAGCTGTGAGTTATGAAACATTTTACCAGGAACAGTTGCTTAGTTCCATATAACTCATTCTATAATAATAGTTTTATAAAAACAAAAAGTAAATTACAAATTAGAAGTTGACCTTTATTTTGGTAAGTGTATGAAGATCAGCCACAAACTCTGTACATTCATGTAGGTGGTCCCTCATACACTCTGCTGCACAGGTGCTGATCAACATCTGACTCTGAAGATTGTACAGCATCAACATCTCACTAACGATGTTAGTGGACCCTAGTGTTCCTCCTGCATCTAACACTACAAACTGAAACAAGACACAAACACGAGTTAGTGGACCCTAGTGTTCCCCCTGCATCTAACACTACAAACTGAAACAAGACACAAACACAAGTTAGTGGACCCTAGTGTTCCCCCTGCATCTAACACTACAAACTGAAACAAGACACAAACACAAGTTAGTGGACCCTAGTGTTCCTCCCGCATCTAACACTACAAACTGAAACAAGACACAAACACAAGTTAGTGGACCCTACTGTTCCTCCTGCATCTAACACTACAAACTGAAACAAGACACAAACACAAGTTAGTGGACCCTAGTGTTCCTCCTGCATCTAACACTACAAACTGAAACAAGACACAAACACAAGTTAGTGGACCCTAGTGTTCCTCCTGCATCTAACACTACAAACTGAAACAAGACACAAACACAAGTTAGTGGACCCTAGTGTTCCTCCTGCATCTAACACTACAAACTGAATCATGACACAAACACAAGTTAGTGGACCCTAGTGTTCCACCTGCATCTAACACTACAAACTGAAACAAGACACAAACACAAGTTAGTGGACCCTAACGTTCCTCCTGCATCTAACACTACAAACTGAAACAAGACACAAACACAAGTTAGTGGACCCTAGTGTTCCTCCTGCATCTAACACTACAAACTGAAACAAGACACAAACACAAGTTAGTGGACCCTAGTGTTCCTCCTGCATCTAACACTACAAACTGAAACATGACACAAACACAAGTTAGTGGACCCTAGTGTTCCTCCTGAATCTAACACTACAAACTGAAACAAGACACAAACACAAGTTAGTGGACCCTAACGTTCCTCCTGCATCTAACACTACAAACTGAAACAAGACTCAAACACAAGTTAGTGGACCCTAGTGTTCCTCCTGCATCTAACACTACAAACTGAATCAAGACACAAACACAAGTTAGTGGACCCTAGTGTTCCTCCTGCATCTAACACTACAAACTGAAACAAGACACAAACACAAGTTAGTGGACCCTAGTGTTCCACCTGCATCTAACACTACAAACTGAAACAAGACACAAACACAAGTTAGTGGACCCTAGTGTTCCACCTGCATCTAACACTACAAACTGAATCATGACACAAACACAAGTTAGCGGACCCTAACGTTCCTCCTGCATCTAACACTACAAACTGAAACATGACACAAACACAAGTTAGCGGACCCTACTGTTCCTCCTGCATCTAACACTACAAACTGAATCATGACACAAACACAAGTTAGTGGACCCTAGTGTTCCACCTGCATCTAACACTACAAACTGAAACAAGACACAAACACAAGTTAGTGGACCCTAGTGTTCCTCCTGCATCTAACACTACAAACTGAAACAAGACACAAACACAAGTTAGTGGAGCCTAACGTTCCTCCTGCATCTAACACTACAAACTGAAACAAGACACAAACACAAGTTAGTGGACCCTAACGTTCCTCCTGCATCTAACACTACAAACTGAAACATGACACAAACACAAGTTAGTGGACCCTAGTGTTCCTCCTGCATCTAACACTACAAACTGAAACATGACACAAACACAAGTTAGTGGACCCTAGTGTTCCTCCTCCATCTAACACTACAAACTGAAACAAGACACAAACACAAGTTAGTGGACCCTAGTGTTCCTCCTGCATCTAACACTACAAACTGAAACAAGACACAAACACAAGTTAGTGGACCCTAGTGTTCCTCCTGCATCTAACACTACAAACTGAAACAAGACACAAACACAAGTTAGTGGACCCTAGTGTTCCTCCTGCATCTAACACTACAAACTGAAACAAGACACAAACACAAGTTAGTGGACCCTAGTGTTCCTCCTGCATCTAACACTACAAACTGAAACAAGACACAAACACAAGTTAGTGGACCCTAGTGTTCCTCCTGCATCTAACACTACAAACTGAAACATGACACAAACACAAGTTAGTGGACCCTAGTGTTCCTCCTGCATCTAACACTACAAACTGAAACAAGACACAAACACAAGTTAGTGGACCCTAGTGTTCCTCCTGCATCTAACACTACAAACTGAAACAAGACACAAACACAAGTTAGTGGACCCTAGTGTTCCTCCCGCATCTAACACTACAAACTGAAACAAGACACAAACACAAGTTAGTGGACCCTAGTGTTCCTCCTGCATCTAACACTACAAACTGAAACATGACACAAACACAAGTTAGTGGACCCTAGTGTTCCACCTGCATCTAACACTACAAACTGAATCATGACACAAACACAAGTTAGTGGACCCTAGTGTTCCTCCTGCATCTAACACTACAAACTGAAACAAGACACAAACACAAGTTAGTGGACCCTAGTGTTCCTCCTGCATCTAACACTACAAACTGAAACATGACACAAACACAAGTTAGTGGACCCTAGTGTTCCTCCTGCATCTAACACTACAAACTGAAACAAGACTCAAACACAAGTTAGTGGACCCTAGTGTTCCACCTGCATCTAACACTACAAACTGAATCATGACACAAACACAAGTTAGTGGACCCTAGTGTTCCTCCTGCATCTAACACTACAAACTGAAACAAGACACAAACACAAGTTAGTGGACCCTAGTGTTCCTCCTGCATCTAACACTACAAACTGAAACAAGACACAAACACAAGTTAGTGGACCCTAGTGTTCCTCCTGCATCTAACACTACAAACTGAAACATGACACAAACACAAGTTAGTGGACCCTAGTGTTCCTCCTCCATCTAACACTACAAACTGAAACAAGACACAAACAGAAAATATTCTAGCATACAAGTGAGTAAGTTGGGGTGATTTTTTTTTAGCTGCCTCAAGGATAAGTTCATTTTTAGCATTTTTCTTTTTGACCAGAGAGTTTAAGGTAATTTTAGATCTGCTTTTCTTACCTGTACCAAGAGCAGGAAATTTTCATCTGGTAAACTGTGTTTAAACTTGAGAGCCTGGGCAAGCTCAAAGATTACAGTTCTAGTCAAGTACATCTTGTCTCTCTCCTGTTCAACAGAAACAAAACTGTTACCCAAAATGTTTTATGGATAAGTTTGTATATGAATGTACCATTGTAATATCAAATTTATCACATGTTTGTTGGAAATATAATGCATCAGCATATCCCCTACCTTGACAAAGACCCTGTTACATAAGGAACAAATGTCCAGCACCTGTTGCAACTTGAATGAACAGTTCAAGATGGTAAAACTCAAGAGTTTGGAAAAGGGCTCCAATATTGACTGCAAAAGAAAACAAACCATACCTAGTAGTCTTTAAGTCTAATATGCACATCTTAAGTTTCTCTGTTACAATGTAAGAGCCAAAACACAAAAAAAGAATAAAGAGGTGGATGTAACACTGACAAGGTTATACTCCTGAATAATTTCTTTGTGTGAATAATAACAAATCAAGGACAATTTGTCAAAAGTCCTCACACTTTTATATCATATCATATACTAGTATTTCATTATTTTCATAGATGAACTTCTCCTGATAAGGAGTTATCAGAATTTCTGTAAAACCTACCCTGGAGTTACTAATCCCAGACACCTTCAGGATAGATATCATGATTTTCAAAAGTGAGGATGGATCAAAAGGTGTTGGCAACACAGTGTACAGCTTTCTCAAGAAGATTTCAAAACTACCCACAATGCTGTTCCACATAGGAGCAGACGTCTCCAAGGAGATACAATTCATGTAGTCTGCCAGATTGTTAAGCAATAAGATGATGGTATCAGAGGGCAGACTCTTCTTATTGTTCAGACCCTAGATATCAAACACAAAAGCAATAGAAATAGTATACACACCTCTGTCATACTCAATTCAAAGAATATGAATCCTGCTGACAATTTCTTTTGCAGTTCAATCAAAACTGCAAAAAAATTGAATTGCAAAATACAATATATCCAAATCTATTATGTTGAATGGCAAGTGAATATATGTTGTAGTTGCAAAAATTAAAAGCTACATTTATAATTGCTGCATTCAAACTTAACATTTTAGCCCATGGGCCTGAACGCTCACCTGAGTAACTTTGGCCCTGCTGTTCTTCACCAGATTTTCCCCTTGTAATAAATATTGTGTCCCCACCCTATCCCCGGGGGTCAGGATTTGAACAATTTAAAATCTACACTACCCCAGGATGCTTCCTTGTAAGTTTCAGAAGAAGATTTTTAAAGATTTTTCCATATATTTCAATGTAAAACTTTGATTCCCCATTGTGGCCCAGCCCAGCCCTACCCTGGGGGTCAAGATTTGAATAATTTAGAATCTTCACTACCCTAGGATGCTTTCACATAGGTTTCAGCTTTTCTGGCCCAGTGGTTCTTGAGAAGAAGATTTTTAAAGATTTTTCATATATATTTCAATGTAAACCTTTGACTCCCTATTGTGGCCCCATCCTACCCCCCGGGGCCATGATTTGAACAGTTTAGAATCTACACTACCAAAGGATACTTTCACATAGTTTTCAGCTTTTCTGGCCCAGTTATTCTTGAGAAGAAGATTTTTAAAGATTTTTCCTATATTTCAATGTAAAACTTTGATTCCCCATTGTGGCCCCACACTACCCCCAGGGGTCATGATTTGAATAATTTAGAATCTACACTACCCCAGAATGCTTCCATGTAAGTTTCAGCTTTTCTGGCCCATTGGTTCTTGAGAAGATTTTTAAAGATGTTTCCTATATATTTCAATGTAAAACTTTGATTCCCCATTGTGGCCCCACCCTACCCCCAGGGGTCATGATTTGAACAATTTATAATCTACATTACCCCAGAATGCTTCCATGCAAATTTCAGCTTTTCTGGCCCAGTGGTTCTTGAGAAGAAGATTTTTTAATGACCCCACCCTATTTTTGTCTTTTCTTCATTATCTCCCCTTGTAACTGGGCTTGACCCTTCATTTTAATAATTTACACTCCCCTTCACCCAAGGATGCTTTGTACCAATTTTGGTCAAAATTGGCCCAGTGGTTCTTGAGAAGAAGTTAAAGGACATATGCACCATAGTTTGAACTTTATTGTCTTCTTCCCTGGAGTTGAAGAGTTCTAGTACTTGAAGGAACTGTGTGCTACATTTTTATGTCTATATATGCTATTGTACATTTCTTCTAAAACAAGTTTGGATAAACAAAACACCTAGAGTATATGTTAAGTAAATTTTGTTTATTTTTCTTTGAATTTTCATCAATTGATATCTTTTCAAAACCCCTGGTAATGTATGCTGATTTTTCGTCTACGATCATCTAATGGCACTACTGTAGATTCCTAAATATACGCGAGGAATAAATTATCGCGTAATTACGCGAGAAGCACCACTCGCGAAATAAAATTACTCGCTTTTATTTTTATTGTGCTTTAATGTATGTAAAATCTCTAGATAAATCACCCACTCGCGAATTATTGTTCTCGCGATTTGACGCCATTGAGCCATTTCGCGATATTAAGTACTCGCGTAAAATAAGGAATCTACAGTATATAATCTTAAATTAAGAATATCTTGAAAAATTATCAGTACGTAAGGTACATTAAAGTGTCCTTAAAATGTGAAAAGTTTACAGATGGAAGGACGGATAGATGGACGACGGACAACTGGTGATCAGAAAAGCTCACTTGAGCTTTCAGCTCAGGTGAGCTAAAAAACTGCTGTCATGTGAAAAATATTTATATCTTTTTGAATTATAAGGGTTTTAAATCTATGTGCAAAAAATAAACATTTTTCTACTGATGCACTGGATGGCAAGTACACTGAATGGCAAGATTTCTGAACACACCTCCAGAAGAAGTTGTATGGGGGCATGACAGGGAAGCTCTGTAAAGTCTGCCAAAGCTGCAGCCATAGTCTTAAAGAAGTCTACATCTGAAAAAATGATTGTGAAGATTCAGGGTAATATGCTCTAACACTTGAAAATACAAATGAATTCCTTGGGTGCTATATCCTTCATAAAGAAACTCACCCTCAAAATTACTCTGGTACAGCATTGGGAAGATTCCATTGGGAGCCAGTTGGTGCAGCACACACCTGATGAACTGTCTGGCAATGCTGACACTATTTCCTGGGACCATGACATTGCTGAAATATTTCAATGTTATTCTTATAATGCACTTTTAAAATACTTTCCAAGACTTTTTTTCAAGATTAATTTCACATTTCATGGCCATGTCAACCATAACTTAGCTAAAAGCAAAACATGCTTATTTCAAAATCAGTAAATTAACAAAATAATATAAATATGGTACAAAATTTATGTGAAATTAAGAATATATAAATATTGAATAATTACCTGTCAACCTGCCAAACATATGGGCTGCTTGATGCAATTCTAGAGAAAAATTATATTACAACATAACTATCGTTGAACAACCTTTTTCTTGCAAACAATTCTAAACTTGTTCTAAAAACAATTTATCAAATAGTGGGTTAGTTTTTTTATGCTTTTAATTTTGGATTGTTGGCCAACATCTTAATTTTTGGCAACAAAATCCCAATTGTGATTATTTTATATATCAGGATTTCAACTATTTTATTAGTTAAAATACTGACAGAGAATGGTAAAAAATCATAAAAACTAACTTTATTGGCATACAACAAAATTAAATCAACAAAATTAATCATCTTTCAAAACATAAACAGTACTAACCTGGCCACACATTGCAGAGTCTCCAACAAAAGAGGTGTAGCTAAAGCAGGTTCTCTGTGTATGAAGGTTGCCAGGACGATGATACAGTAACCAATAGTATCTTCATCATACTGCTCCAGAACAGCATTGCATTCTGGGCAGCGTTCTACCATGACATTCTCTCCATATCTAGAGGATGAGGCTTTCTTGGCAGCTTTTTGTTTTGAAAGTAACTCACTTTTTCTAGCTCTTCTCCTGGTATTGAAATATTCTTGTTTATTTTTTCATAAACTATTCATGTAAACATATCTATATAAATAAAATATTATACCCTCATTATAAACCTTCAAAAATTGTTTATCAACAACACATATGCCCTCACCCTCCTGGTTTGATGACAGCCTCCTCCTGAAGCTGTTCATTCAGTTCTGGGAAGGCCTTCTGTAGCTCTACTGTGATCAGTCCTGTTTTTCTGGGCTTACGGGCTCTGAACCTGGGCTGACTACCTTTCAATACACTTGATGTCCGCAATAATGCTGCATGTATGAAAGTAATTTGAGAAAACTAATATTTGTCTTTAGTTCACAGTATGTACATATGGAGCAGCTATTACTGTTGATTTGATATTTAATTGCAATAATATTACTCTAAATATTATCTGACAACTGTACCTTTACCCTCCTCAAGTGTGTCAGCATCCCCTGAGTCAGTGGCTCCCCCTGTGTATTTCTCTCCATCAGTGTCTGATGTCGTCTGCTTCTCACTGTCTTCTGCACAGCTCTCCACCTCAGATGTCATATCATTGCTGTGTTCAGTAGTAGAGGTATGTCCAGTCAGCGTGCTGGAGGCGTCAGTCACACTGCTGCTGAACACAATTCCTTTACTAGTGTCTGTTGTCTGAGAGACCTCAGGACTAGTTAAATACGTATCTTTGAATGACCTGTCCTCCTTTTCACTGAATTCTTTCAGCTGTTTGGCCATTATAAGGTCCACTGATGGAGTGTCTGCCTTCACGTCAGAAGTGTGGGTCGTCTCTATACGAGCTGGGGATGAGGATCTTTCCGGAGTGGACATAATGTTCTGCTGACCCCTTCTGATCTCTGCAGCTCTCTAAAAAATTCAACAGATTTGCAAATTTCAACCCTATTTATTCTTACAGACCATCTCTCATGCAATTTATTGTTCCAGTTACTAAGTTTATGTAACTACATGTAATTCTGACAAAAAATATCAAATGTACAAGAATTGGAGAAGATAAGTCATTTAGTTCAGAAAAGCTGCAAAACTTCTCAGCTTCATACCCTTGGTGACTGTTTTCGGGACTTAAGACTTTTCTCCCCCTCAGGCTCTGTGTATTCTATAATCCTTCTTGGTTTCCTTTGTTTGGAGGGTCGTTTGGGGGTTTCAGACACCTCCTGCCCTTGTTCTTCCTCTGAAGGAGACACACCCCCAGTGTTATTTGTTTTGTATTGGACAGTGCTATACTCTGGAGGTGACATCAAGTTCACTTCTACTGAGTCCTTGACCTTTGGACTCTGTGGAGGTGTGTCCGTTTCCTGAATTTTTTCCAAGTCATTCAATTTTGTCGAATCTGCAAGAATAAAAATGTCTATGGAAAAAACTTTGTTTGGAAGTGCACACAAATTTAAACATGATTCCAAAATATGAAGAAAAAAATAATAGACATAGGGAAATCTTGAAAATACTCTACTTATTTTCTGAATCAGGCATAGCACTTAAACTCGAACCATAATTCCAGACATTCCTAGTAAGCATCTGAAATTCTCAATTTTTACTAAATTCAACTTTCTGTCACTGACTAAGCTTGTTCATGTTTCTGTAACAGTTTTCACTCTACCTTTACTTCTGAGCATAGAAGGACTCGGTGGAAGGAACCCCTCCTCGTGAGATTTCTTACAGCGGTGATGTTGGGCATCAATTGTGTTGATCACAACTCTTACCAGGGTCTGAATTATGGCAGACACTGGGGATGTGTAGAATTGGTACTGTGAAAAAGAGGCTGTTCTTATGTAATTACACAATGCACAATGGCAATATTTATTGAGCATTTGCACATGTATATGAGCTACAGACTATGTCATTAGAAAGGGTTTCAAAACTGCTTTCTCTTACTGTTCTTTCCCAGATATGTCAAATATCAATCTAACAAAAAAGTTTTCTATGCCAACTTGGGGAATAAAACTGTTCTATATACTGTACCATCCCTTGTACAGTTAAATACCACATACAGTGTATTATTAGTTAGAGTCAGTTTGGGACCTAATACAGAGTCATTCTGGGAGTGAAATGGAAATCTGTATTGGGCGAGGTGAAGACCTTGTGAAATGAAATCTTTGTACCGACCTTATACAGTATAACCAGCAGTGTGGTTAGCCAGGATATGCGAGTATAGGGCTCCATGTACCATAGTGTGTAGTTGGGGGGCTGGTAGTCACTGGCGTATCTCTGGGGGGAGGGTCCATACTGGAGTAACAACAGTGTGATGGGGAGTATCTGGTTCCCCAGGTCAAAATTACGATCCAGTACCTACAAAAGATAAGCTAAGTTAAAATATTCTAGGACCTAAAAGAACTAGGAAAATTGAAAATTTTCATGAAAGATTTGGGTAAATTGAAATTTTTCATGACTTTAAAGTTGAATCATGAAAATTGATTTCCTGGAAAACAACAATCTTCATTGCAAGAAGTGCTTGTTTACATTGTGAGATCTTCATGAAATGAGGAAATCAATTTTAACAGATTTTTTTATCAAGGAAATATTACAAAACAAAATAGATAACTCACAAATGGAACTCCACTCAAGAAAGCATTAAAAACAGCAGATGATCTGAAATGTAGAATTATGGAAGAAATTTGAACAGGTTCACAAAAATATGATGAGACGTGGATATGAAGGAGTATTTATGAGGCTATAAAAATTACAAGTAGTAGTTATACTGCTCTGTACCTGAGTTTATGAGGGGGTACACTGAAGGATTTCTCTGTCTGGTTGTATCCCAGGAGAACATTCAGGTGTCGTAGTACAATGTTCTACAAATTTTAGTGAAAAAAAGTACCGTGGGTTAAACATTCATTCTACACTTTTTTCTAGCCCATCTCTGCATTGGCAATTGTAGGATCAACCATAATTAACTGTTCATCCATCCTTATATTATTTTTACTAGGGTTTTTGAGAATGAAACTTGGAAATATTTGATTAGGTGTATTGTTGAATAAAGCATATGAGGTTTGTGTTGAATTCAGTTTTGCCTCAATTATGGCCCTTTATTACCCCAGGCCCATAGGAAGCAATTTCAGTTGGGGGGGGGGGGGACACACCCATACATTTTCAGTTGAGGGGGGCACAACCAACTACCAAAATTTCCTTGACAAGCAAAACAGGAGGGCCAGGGGCCACATCGCTCACCTGAGCACTATGGCTAGGAAAAAGCAGAAATCAGTTCAGTCTTGAAAGGTTGAAAAGTTTAAATATAAAAGTGGTTTGGGGGGGGGGGGGTTATGAATTGAACAAATTTGAATCTACACTATCTGAGGATGCTTCCATTTAAATATGACCAATCATGGCTTTGCTGTTCTTGAGAAGAAGATTTTTAAAGATTTTTCCTATATATTCCTATGTAAAACTTTGATCGCCCATTGTGGCCCCACCTGACTCCCGGGGGTCATGATTTGAACAAACTTGAGTCTACACTACCTGAGGATGCTACCACATAAATATGACCAATCATGGCTTTGCTGTTCTTGAGAAGAAGATTTTTAAAGATTTTTCCTATATATTCCTATGTAAAACTTTGATCGCCCATTGTGGCCCCACCTGACCCCCGGGGGTCATGATTTGAACAAACTTGAATCTACACTACCTGAGGATGCTACCATGTAAATATGACCAATCATGGCTTTTCTGTTCTTGAGAAGAAGATTTTTAAAGATTTTTCCTATATATTCCTATGTAAAACTTTGATCGCCCATTGTGGCCCCACCCGACCCCAGGGGGTCATGAGTTGAACAAATTTGAATCTACACTATCTGAGGATGCTTCCATGTAAATATGACCAATCATGGCTTTTCTGTTCTTGAGAAGAAGATTTTTAAAGATTTTTCCTATATATTCCTATGTAAAACTTTGATCGCCCATTGTGGCCCCACCCGACCCCCGGGGGTCATGAGTTGAACAAATTTGAATCTACACTATCTGAGGATGCTTCCATGTAAATATGACCAATCATGGCTTTTCTGTTCTTGAGAAGAAGATTTTTAAAGATTTTTCCTATATATTCCTATGTAAAACTTTGATCGTCCATTGTGGCCCCACCCGACCCCTGGGGGTCATGATTTGAACAAACTTGAATCTACACTATCTGAGGATGCTTCCACGTAAATATGACCAATCATGGCTTTGCTGTTCTTGAGAAGAAGATTTTTAAAGATTTTTCCTATATATTCCTATGTAAAACTTTGATCGCCCATTGTGGCCCCACCTGACCCCCGGGGGTCATGATTTGAACAAACTTGAATCTACACTATCTGAGGATGCTACCATGTAAATATGACCAATCATGGCTTTTCTGTTCTTGAGAAGAAGATTTTTCCTATATATTCCTATGTAAAACTTTGATCGCCTGTTGTGGCCCCACCTGACCCCCGGGGGTCATGATTTGAACAAACTTGAATCTACACTATCTGAGGATGCTACCATATAAATATGACCAATCATGGCTTTGCTGTTCTTGAGAAGAAGATTTTTAAAGATTTTTCCTATATATTCCTATGTAAAACTTTGATCGCCCATTGTGGCCCCACCTGACCCCCAGGGGTCATGCTTCCACATAAGTTTCATATTTTCAAGCACAGTGGTTCTTGAGAAGAAGATTTTTTAATGATGCCATTAATTTTTCACGAATTCTTAATTAACTCCCCTTGGAAGAAGGCGTGGCCCTTCATTTGAACAAACTTGAATCCCCTTCACCCAAGGATACTTTGTGGGAAGTTTGGTTGAAATTGGCCCAGTGGTTCTGGAGAAGAAGTCGAAAATGTGAAAAGTTTACAGACGGACAGACGGACAGACAGACGGACAGACGGACTACAGACAAAATGTGATCAGAAAAGCTCACTTGAGCCTTCGGCTCAGGTGAGCTAAAAAAAAAAAAGAAGGTCATCAGAGGTTTTTATTGAGGGGGCACAAGTATATACATGTAGTATCTATGTTTTCTATAGTACTCTATATATCAGCAAAATTATTGGAAGGGGGCATGCCCCCCCCCCCCCCCAGTTCCTACGGCCATGTACCCCTCTTCATGTAACTTCTGTTTTTGGCCATCCTTTTCAGATCATTCAATTTTAAATTCAATTTTTAAATTTTTTCTGTGTTTTCAAAACAAATCCAACCTCGCTCATGCAGTTTTGAATTGGTGGTTTTCTTCCATTTTTTCTATTCAGCTTTATTGTAAAACTATTTTCAAAACAATCTTGATATTGTGTTATTGTTCCTTTAAGAAAAAAGAGAAAATAAAATCGAAATGAAAATATAGCACACTCGTTCAGCTCATTCTACAGTTACAAGTAATATTTCTGTTTTCAGAAATGCATCATATTATTTAACCTCTTTAACATACATGCATTGCAATAATCTGATAGGGCCAGTAGTGAACATGAATTGCTTTGGCTCGATCAACTGTCAAAATGCTTGTTTGACTTGACAATTAATTAAATTACCTGAATTCTGTTATCTTTCTTTTTGTCATCATTTTGTTTCACTGTTACCATGAACTGAAAAAAGTGATACGAGACTAAAACATGTAAAACATGGAGCATTAATAACAACATCCACAGGCGTTTGCTTCAATATCAATTTCATAGTTCAACTTTTTAATTAAATATTTAAAGAACTATACGTACGACAGTAGCATTATACAAACTGTCCCCATATAAAATGTCAAATTTTGTAAATCTCTGAGAATGTGCATATTAATGGTATAAAGTGTATAAAAAATATGTATTAACAAAACATATCATGGATTGGAAACAAATAAATTGACATTTTTTTAGCTCTGTTATGACACAAATTATAAATTGGAATTTTGGACAAAATACATAAAGTTTACTCAATTTTGACCAAAGTATTTCCAAAGCACAAACTTGCTCAGGTATTATATTACCATAATTCATCGATATTATCATTATACATATTACTGTAAAAGTTGAAACTTTGACGAATTTATAATTATCGTCAAAGTTTCCACTCATCAACTTTCACATTCCTATTAAAGTGTACTGTTACCGTAAATACTAGAGAATCATTAAAGTTCCCACTCGCCATTTTTATAATATACCGAAATCATCAAACTTTAACAATTCAATAGAACTACTTTTACTGTATATCAAAAGATCTAGTCTGAGCACATCTGCACTAAATATTTTCAAATTAAAATATCCTTGTAAAATACATTATAATTTTTTTCAAAACCATTGAAATTTTTAATTTAGGTTATTTCCTTATTTCTTGGCGTCATACCGTAAATCTGGAAATTTTTACTGTAGATTAATTTTCAGCAAATTTGCGCTAGCACTGCATTCGCAAAAATATTTTTCTTAAAAATAAATCAACAAATAATGTAAACAGAAATTTTGCTGACAGTTGATGTCTTTTTTTTAACCCGATGAACAGGTGTTCGTAAGCAGTGGTCATTTTAAGAAATATGTTTATACTACAAGCTAATTACCCGTGATAATCTGTGCCTTAACTATATTCAATATCGTCCGATAGTTTGACAGGCAGTCGGTCTCTTTTTAAATTATTTCTCCAAGAAAGAAAGTCCTGTTGTTTTATCTAACGATGAATCCTTAGCACGACAGATTGTTAATAAAGAATTTACTCTCGTGTATTATGAAACCCCGACAAAATAAAGGAGATTACATATTTATGCGTAATTCATTGTGTGCACATACGTAACTTATAAACTGTTATGAAACGTTTAAGTGCTTTTTATTTTTAGCGCCAATGATAATTCGCAAAATTTTAAAACGTAAAAATTAATCAACACCTTTTTGACCCAGATTTGCAAAAATAAATCGACGTAAAAATTTCCAGATTTACGGTATCTAACTTGTGACGTCATGGTTGATGAAAACATTTAATGCTTTGAAGTATGCAAAAATTTCCCTTTTCTAGGACATAATTAAAGGTTTATTCATCATGGTTTGATTTTGGGGGGCAGATATTGGCCATTATACAGTATAGTTATATAGCATATATAGTTATTTAATATAGTCCCTAAGTATTCATTTAGCAAATTTGATCATCACAATGACTGATAGATACACTGTATACCAACCTTCATCAACAGAGCCACTAACTGGTACACTGTGTCTCGGTCAATACCCTCCAGATCCATGGCTTTCTGTAGGAGGGCAGTAAAATTACTCTCCTCATCTGTAAACTCCTTGATGTTACCTCCTTTTTAAAAACATCATGATTTTCACAAATTAATATAATTTCATGTTTACATAACTTTATTCCTCCAAAAAAATATACATGTATATATTAACCAATCTAATTAGAATTAGATCTTTCATTCGCTCCCCAATTTTTTTATGTCGTGACATATAAAAAACCGGGGAAAGTATGGAAGATCTAATTTTACTTAGATTGTAATATTAACAAGCCTCAATTCACATCTTAAATGAAATAAGGTCTAATAGAAAAAAAAAACTGTTCCTTTTCAACATTATATAACAAGGAGCTCATCATTCCTGGACAACCTAAACTTACTGAATTTTTTTTAGATCAAATGACAATAATGACTATCTGGTTTACATAGATTGTTTCTCTGCATTTTGGAATTTTTAGATGTGCTGAATTGAAAGTCGGTGCATATTTAACTTACGGAAAATGAGACAGGATCATGTGATCATTTTTGCATCGAGCTTATTTTCTTTGGGCAACTTAAAATCTGCCAAGATAACCTTATTGTTTACCCAAATCGTAAGTACCAAAATAGCAGGGGTGTCTACAAAGTCATAATGGATACTAAACCTGGAAAAATGTTACTAAATGCTCCAAACTGCATCCTGGTGGTCATTCGCCTCCCTAGATTGAAGTGAGGAGCTGACTGTTGTCTAATGCAGGATTTCTCTTTAGCTTGTTCCACTGAAATCAGGTATAGATACTTAACTTTTAAACAATAGTATTCTTGTGCATCATTCAAAACTACACTGTTTTGAACTTGTAGAACCAGTGCAAAAAATATTTAAATAATAGGATTCATTTTTACAAAATAATATTCATGAACAAGGGAAAAAATAACATGAACAAAGATAAAAAAAAACATGTAAAGTTACCGTAATTCATTATAAAATAGACAGTATCAAATATTAAACCTTAAAGTACATTACAGTGAAACAGCAATACAAACTGGGGCCAATGTTCAGTTTCGTACCACAGTATGAATGCAGATCACACAATATAAAGTTGGCACCACTTGATATTAAGTTGGTAAGTATCAAGGCAAGTTGCTAAATGCTATTCGAAACCAAGGGTTCATTTTCCACAGGCATATTTTGACCAAATGAATGTAAACAAAAAGTTCCAAGCAATTCATATTTGAAGTCCTGGTAATAAATTTGTTCAGATCATTTTGACCAAAGTTTTAAGGTGAAGTAATATTTGACAATTAGCAAAACTTAAGAAAACCTGTAAGACAAACATGCCCCCTCCCTAATTGAATTCTTTAAAATAAAGATTTAAGGGAGCCGACTGGGGTTTTATTGTGTGAAAACTACTATAGAGAAACTCTTTAATTTTATACCATGTGTATATTACATTGATTTTAGTATACATGCCAAGTTTAGTGAAAATCTACTGTCTGGTTATTTTTCGGGGACCATCTCAATATACAGGTACATTTACTATGATAGGATTATATAGGAAAATACTATTTTTTCGCATTTCGGAGCAAATTATACAAATGCTACTATAGACTTTTTGCTCGAATTATATCATTTGATGAGTAATACCATATTGTACATTTTATGCAAGAAACACAAAATTCTACCGTCTGGTTTCCAGAGGGGGCATCTGAAAATGTCAAAATTCATGATATTTTCCTGTTTTTATGGAGTACTACAAAACATGATAGATACCACAGATTTATATAAAAAGAATTACAAAAATGATTGTGAGATTCTCAATTTCCTGTTTAAAATTTCAAGAGCATCTATTTTCATGAACTACCGGTACATGTAACGATCCCTCTTAAAAACTTCGATTATTCATAATGTCAAAAAACACACTATTACGACGTCTATCTACCCATCATTTAAAAAATCGTTTTAAAAAATCAGTTTTTTAAAAACGTAATTAGATTTTTTAACCTCAGATTTCCTAATTTTGTTAATTTTAATAAATTATGTAAAAATAGTTGCCTTAATTAAAATAGTAAATACGCTTTACTTTACTATGCTGCGCGAAATATTGTGCAATGAAAACCCCAGTCGGCCCCCTTAATTATTACTTATTTGACAAAGCAAGCCTGTTTTTGAAGTTTGGTAACTAAAATCATCAAGCAAAACATTCCTATGATAATGGGACAACATTGGATATTGTACGTAGCAGAGAAATCTGCCAACCTTGTCCAGAAAATCAATGATTCACCTTATAGCCAACAAAGTGTGATGACTGCCAAGCAGGAATTGCCAGGAAATACTTAGTATTATGGGATGGATTACATTTGATGTTGGAATTTATGTTGAATGTAGAAAATCATCTGACCTGAAAATCAATTTAACTAGGGCATCAATCTAACACAGCTATTAACCAGTGCATAAAATTGGATTACAATCAAGCAGAGACTTCTATACTTATTGGTCAGAAACTGCTTGCTTGATATGGGTAAGTATGACATACCGAGTATATCAAAGAGGTAAACTGCTTATAACGGCCAACCTATGTAGAAAGTTTGTCTCTTAACCAAAGACTTCTAAGAAAATTGGTTGGAAATCACTGTTTTCCTAACATTTATGTATACAATAATCATGTCAGACAGACAAAACTTCCACCTGACTGATTATAAATCAAATTGATGTAGCCATATTTCATGGTTCATATTACTGTACAAAGAGAGTACTGAGAATTATTTTAACAAATTAACTCATGGTCAAAAAACAAACATTCAAGCCCAAACACTTTGCAATTTATTGCACAAAATCCAAATGCTTAAGCACAAGACACAACCTTTGACCTTATAACCCAAAAAGCAATACTAGCCTTGTCTTCATCTCATCAAATAACCTTTAATAAATTTCCTTACTGAAACCATTCTCTGTGTGGGAGCTAAATGCAAACATTCACATGAATTTACGTGGAATATTGTTTAACATTTACTCTTTCTTCATCCAATGAAAGTAACTGTCGGACTGCATCCAACATTGTGTTTGACTCTATTGGATAATTTCAAGAGTTAACGCACATGAAACTAATCCTACTTTTATGAGCTCTAATTTTGAACAGGTATAGCAAACCAATTTTCTCTCAAGTTACCTAGTACCCCACCAAGGTAACTTATTTAATATATATAGTCATGCACTGAAACTTATGCATTTTCTGATTGAACTTTTTTCCTAATTATAAAAAAGAAAACAAACCACCTTTTGTATAAATACAAAGTTTTTCAATTTTTTTTTTCACATGCAATGGCATTATTACACACTAATGCCATATAAAACAGGCACCAGGATCATGAAAATAAACAGCTCATAACAATTAAAGTATTCCTTGACTTATGTATTACTTTGTCTTTATAACACTGCTGAGGTGAACTTAAAAAGTTTTATCAACCATAATTCTGAGTTATTTTGACTCGGATATGGTTAATGTGTTTTTTTAAAAAGGTCTTTCATAACAAATTTTCATTACATTTATCTTGCATAGTCAGACTGGGCCTCCTAATTAATTAATCACTAATTAATTAGAAGGGAAAAATTTAAATTAAACTATGTAAAACAAACAAATTCCATTCAGAAGTTGATCTGAAATTTGGGTAAATCAAAACGTGCATGACTGTCAAACATTTTCAATAAGCCACAAAAGTTTAAAACAAATGCATTAATGGCAACCGAATGTTACTGACTTACAAAGGACTTTATGCATAAGCATCTTCCACTTATTGAGAATCTCTGTAAATAAGGTCACACTCTGTGTTTTAATTGTCATGTTTTGGTATTAAAAATACAGTAAAACATGCTTATAGCAAAGGCCAGAGATGAGCAATATTGATTCATTATAAACAAATATCATTTATTATTTCTGTTTAGTTCATAATATGTTTTAAAAGGTACAGAGAATGAAGATCTCTTTGCTAAAAGCTTTCATTCATTAAACGTGCATTCACTATAACTGTGTTTTACTGTATATTCTTCAACTAAAATAAAATAAATAGTAACTTAAAGCATAATTACATGTATTTTAATAATGGTTAGGATAATTGCATTAAAAAAATGAAAACAGATGAACTAAAAAGGGAGAAAAAAATCACAAATAAAAGCTGTTGGTGGTTTACTGTACACAGATTGCATACAGAGTTTAACTGCCTCATAATGTACTTGCAACATAAAGATCATAATATGTCACCTCTTCATTTATCTTTATCATATTTACTATACGTATCTAAGTAAGACCCCCCTTAACGTTACGAGTTCATAACCCTGAGAGAAATAGTGCAAGTGCTTCAAAAGAAATAGTGCTATGTTTTTCAAACCATTTCATAGTTTGGTTATCCTGAATGACGCATTTTTATCAGCTTAAAAAAAACTAAAATACAAAAGGTAACACACTAACTCAATCAGGAATTTATGTTCCCCACTCAAGGACAAAATAAGTGGGTGGAATATCAAAGAAAAAAATGCAGATGGAGAAAAAAAAAGAAGGATTGACCTTGACCTTTTGGCTTCAAATCAAAAGGGGTCTTTCTTCAGTTGGAAAGATTCATCACCTCAAGTTTCATTGCAAAAGCTCAAAAAGAACCACAGTTATCTTATGAAAACTACTATAAGGAATAAAAGAATCAATTTCTGACATTGGCCTTTGACCTTTTCATCTTAAAACCTATAGCAGTCTTCTTCAGGTCACAAGGAGTTATGATATAAAATTAATTGCAAATGGCCAAAGAAAACTATGTTATTATCTGAAAAGTACTTTCTGCAATATATGAATTTCTGACCTTGATCTTTGTCTGTTTGGCCTAAAAATCAATAAGGGTTTGCTTTTAAGTCAAAAAGAGTTAATATAAATGGCAAAATCTCAAAAAGAACTCAATTATTATGAAAACCATCTTATGCATTTTATGAATTTCTGACCTTGATCATTCAATCTAAAAATCAAGAAGTCTTCTTTAAGTGACAGGGAGAAATATAAAATTTAAGGACCCTCTCTACACTAAATGAAAATGTTTTTTTGGACATTGAGAAAATTATATTGTATAAAGGTGTAAATATTGAGCTTATTTATATCATTTTCAACATAGGGTGCCTGGCTTTTACCCCCAGGAAAAATGTTCAAAGTCAACAAAGTTTTGTTGAACAGAAATCAGTGGTTTACCTAAGTGGGGAAATAGCATGCAGATGAGGTGTTCAGTTAATTTATCTTGGCCTATCAAAATGTTAAGAATGCCTGAATTGATTAGAAATTGATCGATAAACTGTAGATTTCAATTCATTTTATTTTAGATCTAAGGGCAGATTACTCTAACTACATAAAAATACCACAGAATCAGAACTCTTTAGTGTGCAGTGTATAGAGGGTTCTTAATTGCAAAAACTCTAAGAGAACTTAAGCTATCATCTGGAAACCACTCTATGAATTTCTGACCTTGACCATTTGAGTCTTACGGGGTTATGATACAAAATCTGAATGCGAAAGCACAAAGAGATCTAAATGAGTATCATTCACAAAGAGATAGGTATGGTTTTGGCCTTATTGTACCCTAAAAATTTAATGTTTTCTAAAAGTTTTGAAACTGGCTTAAATATGAGTTGAATATATGACTATGATAAATCAAGAAAAAAATATGGCATGAAGGAGGACCAGTCTGGAAATATGACGTCATTAATTTGATGCATTTCTTTGTTTTAAATAGAAAAAGCTTCAATATGACCCATTTCAAGAGTTATTTTCCTTAAGAAAATAGTGTCCACAGCCGTTGCCCACTTTAATTTTTGGATATGTTTTGTAAAATTCTTTGAAAAATAACATATCTCAAAATCTTTGTGGGCGATGCATGTGGTCTATAATATCTGTGAGAAAATTTCATTGAAAATTGATGTCTTCTGCAACTTTTTATGAAAATACGGAAAATGCATAGGTTTATGATGTCACAATTAGTATTTAGAATGTCATGTGAGAAAAATGATTTGTATGATCTTTCTGCATGTAATTTCAATGATTCAGAAAGCATGAGCTTAAATTTTTTACATCACTTTCATATTCAAGAAAAATGCAGGGCAAGATTTGTATTGAAACCGTACCTTGTTCTTTCTGACCTTGACTTTCGACCTCAAAATCAATAGGGGTCTTCTATGAGTTATATGGAGTTTGATAAAAAATTTCAATGCAAAAGCTGAAGAACTTTTTAAGAAATCATTTGGAAATTAAAGTCTTACACACAGACAGAATGACTGATGGATGGACAAATTAATACCCCCCCCCCCTTTTTGTGAAAGCAGGGGAAAAATTTGTTTTCATGAATATCGACAGTATACCTTTGGGAGGTGTGGTCTTTGTCAGCAGGTGCATAGGAACAGACACAGCTCGTCTGTATGGTGGCTTTACACTTTTACTAACAGAGCGAATACTGTCTGTCCTTGCCAGGGCAAATCGAGCACGGTTCAACTTTCTTAAAAAATGTTCACTATCTCGATCACTGCTTGTCAAATCTGAGAAAATACAGAAAACATACTGAAATATTATGCAAACAATGAGTTCTGCTGTGAAAAAGAAACTCAAAATAAATACAATAACACACGAAAATCACTGATTTACACAACATGCACCTGACTTATAAGATACCAAATTATAAATACTGTTGCAGTTTCTTTCACATAATTATATGTTCCAGTACATTAAAAAATAAAAGGTTTCAAGCATAACAGATAGAAAGTGCCATATAACAGTGCAATGTAAAAAGCCGAAATGTCATACAAATCTTGTACAAATTCTTACTTACATACATTGTATCAATAACCTTAATGGAATAAAAAAAATTAAAATTTAAAAAGAACTGAGGAAAATACAGTATATCTTGTGTACATCACTTGAAGTAACTTTTTTTTTTACTGTCAGGCCTAAAAAGAATTCATTCCTGAAACTCAACCAATCCATTTTATTGACCTAAATAATTTTTTTCATTGAATTTGCCAAATCTGGGAGGAAAAACCTATTTGATTCCACCATTTTTATTTCAAATCCAGTCAAGCTACAAAGTTGGTTTCAGTAAACAGGGTATAATCAGACTATTTCAAAACAATTCGTGTTCAGTATTTTCCTTTAATTTCAAAGTAAAGGGTTAGAGATCAATTGTAACAGGCTAAGGGTAGATGTTTATGAACAAAATCTCTGTTGACCTTACAACAAAGTATTTTTAAATTTTTGATTTCTTTTTTATCAGTTGAAGTGGTCAATTTGGCCGGTAGCCGATTCTTAGGGAAAACACTGCATGTTTGGTATAGCTGCCCTTTTCCACCAATGAAATTGCTTTTTACACCCACTCAATGATTACTAACACATGCTCCGATTTCAATAAACTAATGAATTTAAAAATTTGATTCCTAGCATATAATTTTAATGTCTAGAAGTGAAATCACTTTCATTCTTGCTATTTTTCTTTAATGCCTGAGTATTTTATTTGAAATTTGATACCTCTGAGTTGTGTTCATCATAAAAAAATCTGAAAATTTATTACAAAATCAAGTCATAGGTACTCTGAAATAAAGAATGTCAACAATAAACCACATCACAGGAAATTTCCAAAGGCAAAATTTGCTTAATCTTGCAAAGAAAATCTAGCACTATGCAAATTTATTTACCATAGCATTCATTTCTGGGACAAATTCACGATGATTTTTGAAGCCCAAACCCACATCACTCTTGTTCTACATCATGCAAATTTTAAAGCAAAACTTTCAGCATACCCTCAATCTTAATTCTTGAAATGATAATCATATTACACTGTGCATACATGTACATATAGATACATCTTTCTAATTTAAACCTTCATTTCATATATAAACATATCTGCATTTTCAGAGTAGTATAAGCCATTTTCATACTAATCAATTAGAAAAATAATGAAGGAAAAAGTTCAAGGTACAAACTGTACTAACAAAAGAGCATGAAACCATCTAAACAATGCTAAAAGCAAGTAGCATTTATGAGCCATTCTCTGTAAGCATTGAACTTTTCTAAGCACATATGATCGTGATTTTCTTGAAACTCCATGCATAAGTAGGCATTCATCCTGCAGACTTAAACCAATGATTATACAGTTGCTATGGATTTCTGTTTCCATGTCATTAAGAATACAATTTGGTTTCCATGGTAACTATGCAGAAAAAGGTAACAAGAAGAAAATTCAGCATTTGTTTGCATTGTGGAATTCCTTCTTGAATTTAGATTGAACCATATTATTACTATGTGGAATTGACACCGTCTTCTGATTTATAAATATAACCATTAAAAAAGTACGGGGAAGTTTCCTAGAAAGGTACGTATCCAAGAAAACAAATGTTATAATTTATTTAATAGAATAATGGACTTTGTCCTCTTATTTCCACTGCAACATTATATATTCATACTTTTTTCTTTAATTTTTTTTTACTTTAGTTAATTAGACTCCAATGTGCACTTTTTATTAGAATCATTCGAGTTCATTTGTTGTTGTAGCTGATTATTTGGACTAAAAGTCTTGGCTATTACTTCTTTTATGGTTACATGTACATTTCAGTAACAACAATGTATCATTATGTAACCTTCAGTGAGTCTTAAATTACATTTTCTGTCTTTCGTATATCAATTGATAATGTCCAAAAGATCTGGGTTACCCCATGTATTGACTATATTCCCCATGGACTTTTTAGAAATATCTGCAAGAGTATGCAGTGAGATTTCAAATTGTGAAAAAATGGCATTTTTTCAACTTTAAGACCCTTTGCTATGGTAACCATTCATCCACAAAATCCAAGATTTCCCCCCAAATCTCTACATTATACCAAGTTTAGAAGGAAAATTGTGATCATGTGTGCCATGTACCTCCCTTAAAAATACTAGAAATATGTCCATAGGACATGAATGCCCCGCCGAGGGTACATTGGTAATGCAACATGAAAATTTGTATGTGTATGAAATTTGATGAGAATATCTTGAATAGTTTCTTTAAAATTGAAATCTAAAATGTTGGATATAGATGATAAATTCTCACCAAATTATGTATAAGTGCATAAGCTAACATAAATACATCTTAAATGGTTTCTTTAAAACTAAGCAAAATGCAAATTTAAGAAAAGTGAGGTCAAGGTCGAAGGAAAGGTCAAGGTAAAAAAATGTTGCTGCAGTTGCATAGCTCTCATCAATATCTATCAGCAAATGAAGTTTGATAAAAATATCTTGGATAGTTTCTTTGAAACTGAGCTTTGAACTGAGCTAAACACAAAGCCCGACAGAAGGACAGTCAGAAGGATGGAAGGACGGAAGATGGACATGACAAACACTATATGTCCTGGCCATATTCATGGAGGGGCATAACAAATCTTACAGAGAATGGCTCTAACATTTATTATTCTTATTTTTTATGATTTCTGGAAAAGATGAAAGCTAGCTACTTCTCAGTAGAAAATCTGACACTATACACACATGTAATTGTGTATGCTTTGACAGATATATTTTTTTCTATATCATCTACTGCATCATAATTTTTTTTACATATGTGCCATATGAAATTACATATGAAAACTGAGACATAATAACACAATTCTCATTTAAAACTTTTTAAGCAAAAAATATACGAAACATCAACACTGCTTAACTGAAAATTTAGACACTCTAAGTAACGTAAGCATATTATTGGGTCTCCAATTAGAGCACATCTTCAGATAAAGTGGTTAAAGAATTAAAAGTACTGGTAAAATGGATATTTCAAGTTTGTTACTGCTGATCTGCATGCAATTAATATAGTTATACATTAATATGTTAACAGTGAAGGTTTGTACAAGTTAATATGTATATTGACCAAGACTGAAGATAGTAAGCAAATGGTCCCTTCCATAAAGACGTTACTGTTCACCAATGTGAATGATTCTCTTGAATTTTTTTTATTACACTTAAAACATCAATTTAGTAGCAGTGTTGAGATTTCATTTCAACCACAACAAATCACAAGAAATGGATATATATGCAGTGTTCTGGACATTCTGACAACTTCAAATCTAATGTGCTAATGCCATTCATGTTAAAAAAAAAATTAGTGCCTGATAAACAAGTATGTGTACAGTTCCAAAGTAAAAACATTAAATAATCCTTGTATGCATGCTATACATTACAAGAACTGAATAATAAGAATTTAAGACTGAAAATATATGGGAAATATCGATAAAAATTATTTAGAATTTTTTTTAATATTGCAATCAGGTTGAATCAGCATGCGTTTGTCAAATTAACTGTACTTGGATATCATTTATAAAGAAAAACCAAAAAAGTAAATATATAGTTAATATATTAGAAATCAAGGTGGATTACTAAATTATTCATATATTTATACCAAATGTATATGTATTTAGCATTGAGCATTCATAAACTGGCTTGTATTCATGCACTTATGAACTATTAAAGAATACATTTACTTGCATACACAATGTACTTTTGGGATTTCTTTCAATGCTTGTAGATTTGAAAAAAGTCAGAATGTCCAATAAAAACAGCCAAACACCAAAGATATATTACTTGTTTTACATTCTAAATGGAGACAATATTCAAGAAGAGAGCACACCATTTAGAAGAAAAACACCACGGCAATGCTATAAACTCTGAGACCAGACCATTTCCTGAGAATTTGTTGTAATCATTATAACCTGTAAGACAAGCTAGTTCACCACTATTTTCCAGATCTATCTGAGCCTCGAGGGACAGGGCATCAAACCGAGCGAGGAAGAACTCCCAGTTGAGGATCTCCTGCTCCTTCATGATGTTGGAGAGGAGGTGAAGCCTCTGGAGGATCATAATCCGGTCACTGATCACATGGTCAAACTGGAACTCCAGACACTTACACAAACACTGAAAATATTCACATTCAGAGAGCTACACATACTTGAAACATAATTTTTCTCTCTTTTTTTTTTTTGCAATAGCAATACAATTTTCCAAAAAATTAAAAGTTTACATTATATAAAGAAATGCAAAGCAATTAAAATCCTTCCAAAATAAACCAGATACAAATATGTGTGATTTACACATATGATTGAGAATTCCATTTTCTTAACAAGTTGAATTCAGATCTTTTCTGATAAGAATGCTTTACATCTTTTTTTATATCAGAGAAATTTAAAAATATAATTAAAAAATTTTAAAGTCAAGTCACCTTGATTGCTGCAAATTTGATGGTCTCTAGATACTGAGTAGCCCTTTGGGCAACAGCTGCATTGATGTCCTCCACTGAGCCAATCAGCAAACAGAATGCATGAGCCAGGGCTGTCTGAATAATCTGGTTGTTCTGTAGACCATCTGGTTCTAAAAATCTGGCCAGTACTGTAACTTTCTCCACTATAGATAAGAATGGAGTAAAACATCAAAATGAACACTGTCAACTTACATCTACATTAAATTAGTTAATGATTACTCAGGAAAAAAGTTCATTGAATATTTATTGCTCTTTTCTCTCATTAGTTATTTATTTCAATGAGTAACTCAGTGAAAAGTATATAATTTGCACTCCCCTGCCTGAACATTCAAATTTTAATGAGATAAAAACAATCATTACTACATATGCTATGCCAATAACAATACATGTACCAGCAGCAAATCTGATCTTCCACTCATCATTGGTAAAGTCCTCCTCCACCAACTTCCAAAAGACATCTGCCCCCGTGGGGAGGGTCAGACAATGTAAAAGAAGTGGGACAGCTACATAAGCCAGCTGGGATTGCTTGGCCTTCAGTGATTTCCACAAACTAAACAAAGATTGCATAATAGTGTATCTCATGTATTTTTAAAATGAGAAAATGCACATATATGATAAATCAAATTCAATAGACAAGAGGCCCAAGGGCCTAGAAACCACTCTTCTGATAAACTGAATAACACTGTCACTGTGACCTTGTACTTATGGGTCAACCTAATCTGAGGCCCAAAAGCATCAATTCATAAGTTTTGATGATCCATTTAGACCCTTTCGTATGTACACTATAATATTTGAAAAACAAGTGAAAAAAAATAAAATTTAAAATACATGTCACTTTGGTCAACTTTTGGGTAGACACATTCCTGTGCTGCAAAAGTGTATCAATTTTCCAGTTATGGTGACCCTACAAAGTTTGGTAATTCCAAGAATCCTAGTATCCAAGATATATAGCATTTTTTTTGGAAATGGCTGTAACATTTGTAAGGTACATCATTGTGACCTACTTTTTATTTGACACACCCGAAGTCTTAAAGTGCATCAAATGACAAGGTCTGATGATCCTAGGTTTCAAAATGTCCATGATATGCATCTAAAACAATTTGAAAATGAACAGTCATAAAATACAAAAATTGTGTCACTGTGTCCAACATCTTATGTGACACACTCTGAGGTCCTAAGATGCATCAATAAGATTTGACAATTCTGGGCTTCACAAAGTCAAATATATGCATATAAAACGATTAAAATAAATGGCTGCTTAATTTTAAAAAGGTAGGTCCCTGTGACCTGGTTTTGGGGTTAAAATATCCCAAGATGCATCAACTGACAATGTTTGATGATCCTAGGTCTCTTAGTTTTAAAACTAGAAAGATATGACAATAAATAATGATAAAAATCAAAAAGTAGGTCACCACAGTAACCTAGTTTTAAGTAGACAATCCTAAAACAAACATTTTTAGCAACCACTACTTTTCTTTATATTTTCCTAATTTTCTTCCCTTGTTTAAGGGTCACATCCCTATCATTAGTACAAATGGAAGTCCTTGGCCCAAGTATACTTCATGACAATTGATAAAATTTGGACAAGGGCTTCTTGAGATATGGCCCACATTCCAAAAAGTTTACACACACTGCATGCCAGGCCACAGAATTAGTTCTTTGGGCCTTTGACTTAGCAGAGCTAAAACTATGAATCACCAGAATAAGAAATATGGACAACATGGTATTCATACAATCATGTTTCTATTTTGTTGTGAGGAAATAAAATTTGAATAAAAATAAACCGATGTAACAATGAAAATACAAGAATTCCAAGTACATGTATAATTAAGACTTACTTTGGAATCAAGAACTTGCTGAGGGAGAATTTGACATAATCTGGGAACTGTGTCACGGTGTAATTCAAACACTCTCCATTTAGAATCAAATACTTCATAGATGTCAACAAAGCAAACCCAGCATCAGTATCTGTTGTATTTTCAAGCTCCTGCAAAAGAAAATGCAATGAGAGAAAGGACGGAAGATGACTGTACAGTTTACAATAAAATAAGGACCATATGATTAATTAATTACAAGCTACGTATCACTTCATCTCTCTCTCTTCCAAGAACTACTGTACATGTAAGTTAGCCTTTGCTTATTGTAAAGCCTATGAAGTCACATTTATCATTCCGATTCAATGAATCCCTTTGCTAAACTCATGAGACCATGACCAATAGTCAATTAAAATATTTATATTGTTGCTTGCATTATAATTTGAAAAAAAACTGAATTACAATGTACTACTACTTGTGAAGTTCTAATCCTCTGCAAAATGTGGTCTCACCCTTGCCCTCAACATTTAAAACTCCACATGAAGTGTGTATATCAATGATATATTACTGCTTTGTTCCCTTCGGAAAATTTCTAAAGATTGATTTCTCTATATATTCCTATGCAAAACTGAGTTGAAAAAAAGATTTTAAATATTTTTCCTATGTAAATTTTGAATACTTCTTCTGACCCAACCTAAACTCAAGATTCATATAAATCATTATGATAAGAACAAATCTGAATCCATATAAATGTAGAGAAGATTTTACAAGTTTTTTCTCTTCTGTCCCTATTGTTGAAGAGATGTACATTTTTATGTGAACCCCTTTAATTTTACTTTAATTTCTATATTTTACCATGGAAGAGAGGTATGGTCTTTCAATTGTGTAATTTCCAGAACCCGTAAGCAAATGATGCTTTATGGAAGTTTGGTTAATATTTGATCAGTTGTTCTATAAAAGTCAGATGACACAGAGAGACAGACACTTGCCTTACACTCTTTGATATGAAAAGCTGACTTGCGTCTGGCTCAGATGAACTAAATACTGGGTACTAAGTAAACTACCTGTAAGAAGGCATGATGGAGTTGTAAGTGTAGTGGCATACTAGTCATGTCAAATCCTGGATATTCCTCTTCTTTCTCCCCAGGTGTACTCTCAACATCATCAGTGGAGGTAACTGAACCTAAAACACCTTTATTTTATCAGTATCAACTTTGTTATCATGATATTGTATCTGACATTCATCATCATAAAATTGATGCAACTATAAAATTGTCAACGTGATTTCAATTTAAGATTTCCTGAGTACATATTAAGAAGGCTTTGTCTGAATTCAAGAATGTTAAAAAAAATGAAATATGCAAAAACTTTTTCAAACTTCAAAAGCAAGACAGAAGGATGACTGTCTTTTACTTACTTTTCCTCGACATGCATGTTGGGGTGGTTGACAATCGTTTGGACTCGTCCACTCGTGGAATTTCCTTTGTTGGAATCTTGACCTGGCTCAAAGGACAGAAGTTCTGCATAACCTGTGAAGTGACCTGGTGCCATAGAGCTGTGTTCTGACAGAACATACAACTGTTAGCCTGCTGTTCATCACTACAGATGTGTGTGCCATCCCAATGGGTACCCAGCATTAGAGTCAGTAACTGCATGATTTGACGGCTAGTCTCATTGTACAGTCCAAGGTACTTAGGAAAGTTTTGAAGCTCCAGCTGGAATGTATTAAATTTCATCATTAAAAAACAAACAAGGGCCCTGCAAAGCGAATTTTCAAGAGTGCTATTCTTTTCACACCTGTTTTAAAATCAAATCCAGCATCATGATGTAACATGGCAGCACAAGTTCTGTCTCTCGATCATAAATTTCAAATGCCTCCACCACCACATGAGATTTAGCTGGGCTGAGAGGAGGAGGGCATTCTTCTTCTGGAGAATTCTGGGGGAAGGAGCGAGGCTGGGAGGGCTTTGCCTCCTTGCTGGGGGATTCCGGTTCACTTGTACTTTGTTGTTTAAGGAGCTCTGTCATGTTCTGTACTCCAGATATAAACATACTCAACAGCATGTGGATTGGCAAGTAAATGTCCAGTGTGGAAAGGATCTGAAAAGAGAAAATCAATTCTAAAAAGTTGATCCCCCTTTAAAAAAATCATCTACAGATACTTAGCTTAAATATGTATCTTCATATTTACATACATTTTTCTGTCAAAAACAATATGTATACAAAACTGTTAAAAAAAATATTGAGGCAAAATGAGTTGCAGACAAATCAATACCAATTTTCGTCTAGTTATCTTTTATCTCTGGGACAGGTTCGTCGTGTTCAACCAGCATTTGACATATTCTCTATGATGACAAACCTGTAGCCATTGTAAAGCTTGCTCCTGTACATATGCACTGCTGTCGTCAAATCTTTCTGATATAAAATGGTACATCTTGTCAGAGTCTGTTCCAAAGGGTAAAGGGCACAAGTCCATATCAAAAGACTTACTACAACAGAGAGTAATACAGTGTACTACATATGTACTTAGATACTACGGTTAGAGGTATATGTCACTTGCAAATGGCAAAAGAAAGTGCTCAGTCTCACTTGCTTAGGTTTGGATAACTATATTTTTATAAACCTACTTCAACAAAACTTTGAGATGGTGCAAATCTTCTGAAGGTACTTCAGTTCGGATTGCCTCTAACCAATAAGGCATCACATAGTCCCATATCTATAAGAGAAGTCAATTTTATTTGTAAACACTGTAATTAATTGAATAAATCAAAGCACTTGCATGTCTCCTTTTTTTCTTGAATTTCTCTTTTAGCTGTATGTTTAATATGTTATCAAAGAGGTTTTTTGTGAAAATAAATTTCACAATATATACCTCAAAAGTAATGACATCATATGGCACCAAACAAAAGAAACAATTGAGGCCTTCTTTGATTTGCACTGTTCTGGAACACAATGTGTCCCTGAAAAAAATGGATGACAGCAAATTATTCCAGCATCAAACTACAATGTGTATGCATCAAAGTGCTGAGAAAATAAAGTCATACAAAACTCTGATAATAATTATTAAAAATAAAAATGTATGGTAATCTGTAAATGTACAAATTATATCATAAAGATATTTAATATTTTTATTTTGTGTGTTTAACAATTCAGCAAAAGTCAAAAATTGAAAAAAAAAAAAAAAAAAAAAAAAAAAAAACACCCACCAAAATCCCCCGACTCTAGCATACTCTACTGGGTGTGGGAGCAAACAGGACACAATGACCTCAAAGTGAGTCTTGGCCACTTCATCCAGCCAATCACAGACATACTGTAACACAGTGAGTTAGTGTTAGAGATCACATTCATGGCTGATACTTCAATGTTCCCAAAGAATACATATCATTGATTAATTTGATACATTATGTAAAAAACAAGTAATTCATTTACTGATATATCAAAATATTGGCAATGTCTGCAAACAAAAGTTCTAAAATAATTATATTGAATTTCATTTATGATCATAGATCACTGATCATAATTCTATGAATATATACTTATGTTAACTTTTCATGAAAATCTAGACATCTCTTCTATTCACATGCTATGGTTTCTAGTTTTTTTCTTTAAAACTTATACTTACTTCATCCTTCAATCTCTCCAATGCATTTCCAACATTGTCTGAAAAAATATGATTTTGTTGTTAAAATCAATTTTATCACTGCAAAATAAAAATGCAGTATACTAGGATTCTCTGGTAGTTGCCACACTATTACATACACTGATGTTTTTCTTTTTTTGGAGAGTGAGGCCAAAATTCATACCCTCATAAACTTTTTAAAACTGAGAGACACTTCTAATGTACCTATGATAAATAAGCAGAATGTAAAATCTCACCATCAGGTAAATATGCTGTAGCATCAAACCACTGAAATAACATCCCTAATAAGCGTCCCAGCACCTCCTACAACACAGTCGTACTTTAAAGTCTATGAACCAAGTTTCACTTATGTCACTCAACAAAATTGCTTTAAAAAAACAAAACTCATAAGCCAAAAAACAGTGTTGATGTTTTGAACAAATCATGTACATAAGTTTTTTTTTCAATCCTAAATTCATGTACTTCAAGATATGAAAATGTTGTTTTACACTATGAAAGCGATGCATTGCCAAATAAAACTTTATTTCAAAGACACTATATTGCAGATCTAGACCATTTTTATTAGAAATGGTTGTTTGTAACTTTTACCTCTACAATGAAAAGTTAAATAATTTTAACAATTTGTCATAAATAAATCCAAATCCCTTTTACCTTTTAAGTTTACAAGCTTCAGGCACAACCCTCACACTAATTATTTCACTAACATCATCATGCAAACTGAAACAGAAGGGTATGCACAAAAGAATGTACAAAAAAGGAAACTTGAAATCCAGAAAAGATATAGAATGTTATGGTAATGCAACAGATCCATAGGATAGACAATAAATACATATTAGATATTCTGTGTACCAATCTCCCTTGAAAGCAAGGATGACTCATGACTATGTAACATGAAAAAACACCAAAAATCGTTCATTCTGTATACCAATCCTTTGAAAGTAAGCATGCCCCAGTCTATATGTATCATGAAAAAAACATCAAAATCATTCTTTTAGGGCCACATAAAATTATTTCTTATACTCTTAATCTCCTACTTTATAAGAAATAAAGGATAAAAGAAGGGTGGAATTCATAGCTTTAAAAAAAAAAAAAAACAAAAGAAAGATATCTGTTTGTGTAAAGAAAAGAATACAAATCTGCAAGGGATTGTTCTGTCAACCCATATGAATTAAAAATAGATAGATATTTTTAAATAAATATTTGAATTATTTTTATGCATTATTAAAAAAGATTCATTCCAAATGTGAAATTTACACAAGCCTTTAACTTCAGCTTTGAACAGTTTCAGAATTGAATTGTCAAAATTTACATATCAAGCAAACTATAGAGTACATGATCTGGAATATTTAAAAGTAATTTTTTAACACCCATGCCTTCATAGATGACAAAGCCAGGGATGAGCATCTTAAAACTGACTTTGTCAGATTTTTTGGACACAAAATAGCAAGTTTGCTTTTTAATATTTTGCTATTATGATTCAACAACATTTAAAGAATGTATGCATGCATAAGGTAGTTTAAGGATGAATCAGAATTAAATATACATGCAACTACATGATGCATTTCAACCTAATAGGAAAAACTACTCATTTTGGATGTTGGATGCAGGAGCAATGCACATGTATATAATATTCATTCTTTTTTTTTTTCCTCTACAAAATACATACAATAGGAATATCCTCTCTGGGGGTGCAAAGTTCCACCAGCAGCCAAATTCCATATCGACTTAGCAATTTTCTCTCTCCTGCTTCTTCTATCAGCAGAAGTTGTTCCTCCTCTGCTGTTGTCTGCTGGTAGTCTTCTCCCATCTCCAGCAAACGCTTGGATTCTATTGGCTGGGCCTCTTTTAGTAAGCTGAAGTCATATTAATTAGATTTCATGATACAAAGAGAAAATTTACTTATACCTCATGTTGTAGATGCAAAAAAGGTCTCCTTTCCAAACCCAATATCTAAAAAAATCAGTCATGATTCTTGAAATGAATTTCATTTTTCCCACTAGCTGATTCAATATCCACTCAAAAGAAAATGGCCTTTATCAAATTTGAAAATCAATCTTTGGCCAAAATTAGATCAAAAAATTGACTTCAGAAATCTACATTTAAATTTCCTTACCTTACAATGCCATCAGTAAGGTACCTCTGGACTTCCATGTTACAGTCCCATATTTCTGGAATACTGCGGTGGTAAATGTGGAGCTCCCCCTTTTGTCCGTGGTGGCGCTGGATGTCACAGTACTCACAATATCTGATTGGTCGATTTCCATTGTAGCTGGCACACTCGATAGAAAAACATGTACAAACGGCAAGATTGTCTTCTGACCTGCAGTTCTATAATAAGAATTAAAGTAAGTTATATTAAGCCTGTAAGGCATTTGCTGTGGGTTTATTGAGTTGCTTTTTATTGTCATTGTTATCCATATTAAGATTTACAAGAAGTAATGTTTATTTGGATTACTTCTTTGTCTATTATTCTAGTTTACAACATTTGTGTAAAACTTCAGAAAATAAACAGAATGCTCTGGATTTTTTCTTAACTGTTTTAAGTTTTTAAACAAATGTTAAGACTGACCTTATTTTCACACACTGTTGATACATGTGACATTGGCAGTAGAATATCTGTAATGTATTCACTGTGTTCCTTTCTCAGTTCATCTGCACAGTCACTACAGATATACAGAGGAGGGGGCTTGTCTCCAGAGTGAATAGCCAGGGCAGGGTTTAAACACATCTATTCAAATATACATAGAAATAAATAAAAGTTCACTAAGATGGAATAAAAACATCAGCCTAAATAATAACTAAAATATATGTATAACGCCTTTGATTCTTCTATACTTGTCAACTCGGGAAAGGGGCAATTATCAAAGAAAGTAGAATTGACTCTTTACAAGAAAATTTATCTATAATGTGACTGCAAGTGGACTTAGTATTTGTTACACAGATTATTGCTAGTATTTGAAGGTTTACCTTAACAGCCTGACAGTTCCCTGAGTTAACACAGCCTTGTCTCTGACACAGTACTGGAGGCCAAGCTGAAAAACAAAAACAATACAAAATACATACAATATACAGTTGAACTACGGTATCTTGAACACTGATACGTCGAATACCATGGATATGGTATTTGATCTGGAATTCCCAACAAACGATTCTTTAAGTATTTTACCCTCGATATTATGAATTCTTGGATGTCAAGAAGTTTTTTCTCGGTCCCACTGAGGTTTGAATGTATCACAATTTGAAATTATACATGTGAACTTTAATTTTAATTCACACATTATCAAGAAAGACAATCTTGTCCATATTTTCTAATTTACCAGTTTTCATATTTTTGGCATAATGATTCTTAATTTTCTTTGGCTTTACGAATATTCTCACATATTTACAATCTTTTGGTGTACCTGTGTACTTGTAGTGAATTCCTCTTCTATCTGTCAGTGCAGGATTAAGCTGAGGCCAGTAATAAAACAACAGATTGGCAGCAGGTGCCCTGGCAGTGAAAGGCCCGTAAGCCACAATACTAAGGATATCCTACAATAAAATGGTATATATATCAATGTGGAGATGCACGCTGACTGTCCAACACACACAAAAAAAACAATGCTATGAGATAATATAGTACTACTCCCTCTTTCAATTCATTATCAATCATGAATATGAAAATAAACAGGTGATTTGGCAGTCTGGTTAATTGTTATATACTGATCTTAATACTTTGGCAAAAAGCAGCTTGTGCCAAAAGGCTCAGCCTGATGCCCTCACACTAATAAAAATTTGATCAGACTTGTATAATATAGTTCAATAATATTCCAATAGGTCTAGTGAAAATTTGCATTATTTTACTTTTTTTTCAATAAGACATGAAAATTATAAAAAAGTTACCGGTAATATAAAAGATTCCCCCCAAAAAGACCCAACATGAACCTCAGTTGGTTTATGCAAGACATTAGATGAAACAAAGTATCCAAATACAGTGAAAGAAGTTTTAAAAAATAAAAGTAGACATGAAAAAGGACAAGGGACATATTTCAAAGTCCTTTTTTAAATAAAACATTATTAAATGAATGTACTTAATTATATATTCAAGTTAAATGAGCATGCCAGGGCTGGTCAAATTTGATTTGGGCTATTAAATGTTCTTCCAACTACCGGTAGTAGCTAAACTGGGCTTGTTTTGTGCACACTGAAACAGTATATCGGTACTGGAATGTAACTCAGAAACATTGGTTTGCCAAATATGGGCAAATTTAAAATATGAAGAGTGAGTTGTAAAGATTACCTTAATCAGGTCTCTTTTAATGCTCATAAAACATTCTAGAATCTGCGAGTGGAATGCTATAAAATAAAAATTAATGTACATGTACTCATGTCACAGAAAAAATATAACTTGACCCTATTTTCTTTTTCCCCCTTTTTTATTGGCTCCTTAATTTTTGTGCAAATTATGATATGTACAATGATATCAATAAACTTCCTACTACATTTTAAAAGTCTTTCACATGACAGCAATAAATTTCCCAAATTAAAAGAACTTACAGCCATTGTCAGTATGCTGGAGGACCATGGTAATAATAGCTGCTGCTGACTCACTGGCATAGGAGGGCTCAAAGCAGCCATCATAACCTGGAATTTTATTGACATAAGTTCATTGTTCATGAAACAGAAGAAGCCAATGGCCATGATGCAAACAATATGTATCACTACAGTACATCTCACGATCTGTCTGACAAAAAACTATATTGATACATATGCAACTTCATATTATTAAAATGCATCTTGAAAACAATCTCTAGCTATACATGTAAAATTGCAATCTTTAAAAAGGCAAAATACCTAATCCTCCATCTAATTTTGCTTTCTTATTTTATCATTATCATATACATGTACAGTATACTGCAGATGGAAAACAATGTGAGTGGACGAATGTACACAAGGACTGCAGTGTGGTCTTATAAATACAAACCCAAAGTCATTGGCAGCATGTTGCTACAGAGCAGATCGATGGTGTCCTTGTGTAATGTAGGAGGGAAGATTGCTAAGGTTGAAGCCACAGTGTAAGGGAGAGAATCCAGAAGATCATGCTCCAAAAATGGAACAAGGCATCCCAGTACTTTCAGAACATACTCCCCTATTTCTGTATTACAATAACAAGAATTACAGGTGTTGAAGTGATCAACACTTCTAATTGTAAATCAAGATATCAATTTATTAATGAATTCCTTGAAAAACTCATTATTAATACTCTAGGCTATCTTTAAAAAAAAGTTTGATTGCCCTCTCTAGACTTGGGATTAACAAAAAAGATGGCCTTGCATTCATAGTGTATCTCTTTAAATAAAAGTATTTTAGAATCATGATAGTACAATGTATAAGTAAAATTTCATGGGGAACACTTCTCTAAAATACCTTTCTATCTCAAATCTTCAAGTATTTTTCATGCATATCAAAGAAAGATTCATATGTTTATATCTCAATTTTTCAAGTACTTTTCAGATTTCAACATCTCAGTGATCAAAATACATCATTAGTTTACATTTTCAGATATCAAGCTCAGCTCTTGCAATTTAAGTTGTATTGTGATTGGTTGACATGTTCCTTCCCTTAAAAACTTTTATATCCTGTTAAACCTATAGTATTAATACACTTACCTATCTGTTTCATCTGCATCGTAGGTACAATATCTATCATGTTCAGGATAGCATAGTACAACCCTGTATAATTCAGATTGGGAAAAACAGACTGCCGTACACTGTCCCTCTGTCGTGGTCCATAGCTCTCTGCTGGAATGTTGGGAACATCTTTCAAAACACTGAAAATAGAACATTTTAAGAAAACATAGGGAAAACAAAAATTCACCTCAACAGATGCAACTTACAAAGGAGGCTAAGTCTCATACCAAATTAATGTTCCCTGAATACTGAGTTTTGGTTTTAATTTATCAGTACAAACTATAGATCAGTCAGAGCTAAAATACAAACCCTGTGAGATTTTTTTATCAAATCTACTCCACTCATTGTATTCTTGTCATCATAGCTGTAAAAATTATCACTCATTCATCAAGGTGATTCATATGCCAAAGATGATAGTTCTAGCAAAAATGATTTTGTTTGAGTGATTGCATAAACTTGTATGGGACAGATGTAGCATCTATACCAAGTCTGGTACACAAATTTGGTACAGGTATGCCTTATAGTTACTGTTGCATCTCAATAGCATTTCTTGAAAAGCCTTAACCATGTTTGCTGATGCTGCATCAAAAATGCTCATATACATGTATATATGCTCTCTCTGATGTTGTAAAGGTCATGTAATAGTAATGTTCAGTTAATGATTTGTAATCTTTTCTTATATAAATATCTGATCCAATGTAGGCAATTAGCAAGCAGCTGTTAAATATTACAAGCACACACACACACACTAAAAAATCACTCACCTTCTTAAAGTCTGGGAAAAGTACTTAAGTGTGTTTTCAATTTCAATTCCAGTGGGCTGTGGGGTCAAGTTGTTAAGAATCCGAAATCTGTAGTCTTTTAGATTCTTGATCTTTGAATTGACTGAAAAGGAGACATGATTTTTGTTTCAGCACAAACAGAAAAAAATCTCAAACAAACACACAAGCTAACCCAAATTCATTAGAGAGTTCCAAAGAGTGTGTCTTCTGCAAAAGCAACATTTAGGATTTGTTCCATCTTTCATACACAATTGAAAAGAGGTCAAAGTTTAGTTTTGTCATAGCATTGAAAAAAATTTTAATACTGAGGTCAAGCTCACAAAGTGGTTAATAATCTCTCAAAAGTCATATGAAAAATAAGCAACATATTAAACATATTAAATATCAAAGCCTATCTATTGGTTGTAAGTGTAATGGGTGAGGAGAAAAATGTGACAAACCAGACCAGGATTCGAACCCCGGTCCCCTGAATCTCCAGTCAGGTGCTCTACCAACTGAGCTATCTGGCCAACAGCAATCGATTCTGTCTGACTGCCACATTCCTCCCTCCTTAAAGGTCTTCAACCCCCACCCAGGCTCTTCCCTGGCAGGTCTTTCACCTTTCACTTCCAGTGCATGGCAAGACACCAAATGTAATGAGAGAGGAGAAAAATGCAATGGGACAGACCGAGATTTGAACATGGGCCCCCCTGAATCTCCAGTCAGGCGCTTTACCAACTGAGCTTTCTGGCCACCGGCAATCAAATCTGTTTGGGTTGGTATCTTCGGGGGCTGAAGACCTTTAAAGAGGGAGGAATGTGGTGGTAAGACAGGTTTGATTGCCGGTGGCCAGAAAGCTCAGTTGGTAGAGCACCTGACTGGAGATTTAGGGGGCCTGGGTTCGAATCCTGGTCTGGTCTGTTGCATTTTTCTCCTCTTCCGTAATCACTTTATAAACCTGGGGTAAATACAGTATGCTTTTCCCCCAAAAACTCCAAAAACAAGGTCAAACTCAAGACTCCATGGTCAGTAGACTTAGTACTTTAAGAAAAGTTTTGCATTAAAATTATTATAAAAGCCAAGGATGGTCATTTACAAGCAATATACATGCTTAATATCAAGCCATTTCTTTTGTTATTCAATGATACTAATCTTTGTGGAAAGAAGGTCAAAGATCATGTTCAAGGTCATAAGTCAATGATCTTTAAAGGCTTAATCAGCATTATAGATGCTATATTGAATCTCCCTAATGTTTGAAAGAAGAAAAAAAAACTACCATATAATTTCATTGTGAAAAAAAGTCAAAGATAAAGTTCACAAGCAATGTCACAGTTGTTTTGTCAAGGAATAAGCCCCAAAATGTTACATGCCTGCCTCTTACAGTTCAAAAGATACATGTATTAGATGTGATATAAACAGCTAATATTCAGCAGATAGACAAAGTGATGCAGGGCAAGCCAAATTTATACCCAATTGTCACATTTCTTTGCACTTCCAGAGCTCCCAATACATGCAAAAATTTCTTTATCTCTCTGTCATAGTTTTATATTGTCAAAAATTGTCATTTTGTTTTGAGAGGAAATATAGTCTGGATATTGCATATTCTTCAAACCTTTTCAATAAATGGTTTACAATAATTTATTATAAAATATAAATTAATTAAGACTGGTTAACAAAATGATACAATATACACAGAGAGAGAAAGGGGGGGATGCATCGTCATATGCTAAAGCATATATAACTACCGAAAAAGGAACGATCACATTAGGCCTAATCTGATTATCCAACATTTATGACAGCTCGACCGTCTGCACCCTTAAAAGTGACAGTCACCAAACGCAATACTTACATGTTGCTGCACGGGTAGTCATTTTTAGTTCCCGTTATCCACTTTCTTTAAGGTTAAAATATCATATTCGGTGAAATAACTCAGATTACAAACAATTTTGTATTCTCTTCATCTCATTATGGACTCTCAGAACAGACCAACGGAAGTACCGAATGGGTTCCGAAAGATTGATGCTGGAACTGAGGTTAACGGTGTAACCTGAAAATGATACCTAACATATTTTGTGTAGTCGACAGCACGATCATGAGAATCTATAAAGTAATTATTGAACATTTTCATTGATGTTTTACAATGTATTTTTTTCAAGATTAAAAGAGATTAATTTTTCTAACTTAAGAACTCTCTTAAGATATTTTTTTAAGATAGAAAAAGAAAATACATAGGCCAAAAAAAGAAAATATATGGGTCCCATTTGGATGTTTGAAATAATACTTAGTACATTGTATTTGGATTATCACATTATGGGAATCCAAAATTACAAACATTAATTAAGTATCTATTGAGTTGAGCCCTTTTAAATGTTAAAATTAATCATTAGCATTGAATCAAGTATAGACACGAATAAATTCTGAGCAAATTAACTTTTTACAATTTATATGTAATGATAAGTCTAGAGAATTCCGAATAAAATCCCTAGAAACGCGAGACTTGGCGTCATTTTGTCAAGATGGCGAAGCGAGGTGATTGGGTTTACGATGAATTACTGTGTTTCTTGGGAAATCCTTTTTTTCAAGTTCCTGTCTTGACTTTTATGGAGTCTAAATGTTTAAGTAAGAATTATTTCACATTATTATGAATACTTGTTTTATATAAATATGTACACAGAGAAGGCACATGTATGTCATTGTTATGCATGCCTATGCGCGACATCGATTTTTATTTTCGCCTGCTGCAAAATCTCAGCTAAATCTGCTCTCAATTTCTCACATGTTTGATTTTTATTTGCCTGAATGGATAGATAAAGAAGGCATCAGAATTTTGCATACGTCAATATTAAATATACTTAAATGAGTTGTATTTATCACAGGAGTTCGCAATTTTATCAATAAAGTCAATAAAAATCACTCGATTGACCAAGCCATGAGTTATGCGTTAGCATAGCGAACAGGAATGCAACGCATTTTTGGAGAAATCGACCAATTTGCTTTTACCCACCGCTTATTTAATACAACTCGTCAGCATTCATATCAAACAACATTTCTCTACTAAATTTGCTCTCTAACCCTTCTCGAATGCTGTCAATACCCATTTTCTTCGATTTTGCGTAAACATTCGTTTTACCGAGAAGCCATTGCGTGACGTCACATCAAACCCAAACCTGACAAATAATTATTAAATTAAAAAAAAGATAGAGAATAAACTTTAAATTATTTCCTGTTGCTTTGTATTATCACCAACTTACCAAAGTGTATCAGCAAAGTTGTTGGACGCGACAAATTTCCTTTTACTTGCTCAATATTTCAATTTGCGCGCACATGCAACTGAAATTATCGCCCTTTGTTTTTGAACAACTCGACATGGTTTCTCGCCATAAAAAAAAATAATCGGATGATATTAAGTATTATGATTTATTCCATTTAATTATAAAATAAAATATGTACAATAATTGAGAACCATTTAATTTTTTTAATTTAAGACAATCGAATAATTATCTGTCGAGTGATTTTTATTGACTTTATTGATAAAATTGCGAACTCCTGTGTATATATGCATCTAATTTTTTTCTGTAGAAATATCATGACATATTTGTACATAAGACCTTACATTTTTATTTTTCAACTTAGATAAATTTTGTTTGTAAAACTTGACCGATGGGATTAGCACAGTTGTATTTGTTATACAATGCCATATCTGCAAATGTCAGACAGTACCACTTCTTGGACAATCCCAATCTTTACCAAACCCCACAGCTCTTTCATGAATGATGAATATCAGTCATTACTGATAACAAGGATTTTTTTTTTTTTTTTGGATATTTGTAATTGTACAGAAAATGTAATGGGCTTTCTACTTTCACAGGGAGCCTGCATGTTTTAATTGACTGGTAGGACCTATGACAGAGCTCAAAATTGGGAGATATTAATATGCAACTAAAATTCTGATTTGGCAAGTGAAATTAAAAGATGATCACCATTTCACAATCAAAAATATTCTTTGACCTTTTATTATTTTTTGACACGGGGTTCAAGCTTAAGTCAAAATAGTCAAGATGGCAGACTTGGAGAAACAAATTGGTCTGGAATTGTTTGGTTTTTCCATCCTACAGTCCAGACAGGGAAGAAATGCGAAGACAGTGTACCAGATACTTTTCTGTCTGCAAATTCACAGACATTCAGTCCTCAAATCACAAAGGCAGTTTGTAGAATAATAGTCTATATTTTATTGTAGGAGTTTTGATTTAAACAATATTTTTATTCAAAATAATGAAGAGATTGGGCAACAGGCAATGTCTATAAATATCTTCTCTATACAAGAATCAAAGTTACAAAATACAATGGACTGAGTGAATATATATATATATATATATATATATATATATATATATATATATATATATATATATATATATATATATTACAAGGCAGGTAAACACACACAGACACACATACAGAAACACACACACACACACACACACACACAAGCACACACAGACAGGCACAGATCCAGATGAATTAAGCATAACACATAATTGTATTAATAAAATATAGTAAAAAATATATGTATCAAAAGGAAATGTATTTAAAAAGGTTTTGTTGACCTGATATATTCTTGTACATAATTTGTAATGTTGATGTTTGTTTTCTTGGCTCAAGTTTGTTCTCCCAGCATACCTGGTAGCTCAGATCCTTGTATCCTGAAATCTTGCTCTCCCAAATTATAAGACTGGTATAAAAGAAAACAATATTGTGATATAATAGAAAAGGAATGATACAATGTAATATATTATTATATAGTCTATTTATAGTCCCCATATAATATATGCAAATGGTTAATAACACTACATATTCACAGGATTTGAAACTGTAGGGTCTGTGCTTGTGCAGTGGCGATTTTGATGTCACAAATGAGCAGGAAAAGCATAAGGCAAGCCTATCATTGGTTTATTATCCAAACATTATTCTTACACACTAAGAAAGGAAAACACGGAAGTTATAACTTGTAATCTGGACATTTTTTTAATCTTTCTGCAACAAGTTGGTTAATGAAAGTGGCATTGTCATGCAGCCTCAATGTATTAGTTACTTGAATCTGGACTATATGATAAAACAATATGGTTTCTTTTGATGGTGAATTTGCTTTGATATTTATCAGAAAAAATATCAATATTGAGCAAGATGAAGTTTTGTCAATATTGATATTTTTTCTGGCGAATATCAAACCATATTTTCCACCAAAAGTCCATAATTTTATAATATGATATGTATTCATATATGCTAAATATACATTATTGAAAATTCGTAAATTTTTTTTAAAGATGGGAGTCACAATTTTCTAATTTTTATCACTGACAACAAAATTCCATAGAATTTTTCCCAAAAAAATACAAAAAAAACTATGTCGAGAAGAATGCTGTAAGAAACTGTTTAATTTCAGTTTTTGACCCAAGTATTGAAGACAGTGAGGAATACAAGAAGGTTTACCAGGAATACAAAGCTGTTGTAAGTTGTGATTGCTAAATAATATGTGGCAAAATGAGTTTTGTTTTTTGTTTTTTTTTTTACATAAAGACATTGGCAATGGGACTAGGGCCTCTCACACCATTTTTGGGACTGGGGCCGGGGCCATACAAATTGGGAAAATTGGTGACTATTTGGTAATTAGGAAAATTAGTTTACATTCAAATCATATTATATATTGGTTTACTGGTGTTTGATATTGCCTAAATTTCTGATCTGCAATACAGAGGAATATGAGTAGCAAAGTTAGTTATTATATATATATATACATCTATGTTCTGTAATCTCTGGTAGATTTGAATTTTGGGAAAATTAACGCAATTGGGATCAAAAGTATTTTTTTGGAATTGGGAATGGGGCCTTTGATTGCCTCCAATTACCGGTATAGACAATGGAGAGCCCTAGGGATTTCCACTTATTCTAGAAAAGCTTTAGATTTTTAATTAATTTTTTTTTTGTTTAAATAGATTCAGAAGTTGCTGGATGCCTTTATAAAAGATACAGGTATCAGCCATGACCAGGTCATTAAAGCTCTCCAAGACATGAACAAAAAAAAGGACATCAAAGAAATGTTTCAGGTAAGCATTCATATTTAGTCAACTTTTGTCTTTGCATGTAAAATCCTGAGAAGGGCCAAATACCTGTCCCAGTCATAATTGACAGATACATACTTTGCATTATGTTTATAGAGTATATTAAATGAAAGGAATCAAATACTTAATGAAATTAGTTGAAAATGGTGTTTTCTATGTGACATTAAAAAACTAAGTATATCTCTTTTATTTTTATAATATGCAATAAAAAAAGAATGAATTTGTTTAATTATGGTTTAGAACAATTTTTCTTAAATCTCTGAGGGATTGTAATGATATTTTCTTGCAAAATGGAAATTTGAGGGGTTTTTTTATGTAAACATTAGTGGAATGCTACTTCAAAGCTCTATAATGAAGTAGTATTTCACAACCATGATTTATTCCTGGTTGGAGCAATTATGTATTGTCGACCTATTCCCTTAATTGCAAATATTATTTGATGAATATTTCAAACACACTTTAAGTGGAAATTTTTTTTAGAAAAATTTTAGAAAATATATTTGATTTGCCCTTGGGAATTAACAAGTATTATTGCTGTTATCAATATGGAAGAAAAAAGTATAAAAAATATAAAGAGATAGATTGTCAAGACAGTTTCATTTATTATAGTAATGACCTTATTTAATTATCCAGAATTGTTGTAGTTGGTTTGTGGAGACTTAATGTTCATGATACTCCAAAATGAATAAGCCTTTTGTAAAAACATTTATTTTGAAAATTCACTTTTAAGATTAGCATATATATCATACATTTTCATTGTCATTTCCAATATATTAAGACACAATGGACAATTTGAAGCAATATATGTTGTCCAAGGTTAGCATAGAAACATATGCATACATTGTATATCTCTCTAGGCTTGTGTTTTGAATTTTGAAAAAAAAAAATGAAAAACAAAATGGAAGGATAGTTGATTGGGTTTTTTAGGAGGAGATCCAGTATTTCATAAAGCCAGTCTGATTTTATAATTAATTTAGTAATTATTATTATCTGGCAAGTGCAGAGAGCTTGGTAGAATGAAATTTTAATCATCACTTTATGACAACCTGATTTCTAGCTGCTCTTGCAAATTGAGCTGCCTGGCTGCCTCAAGTTATACTGACATAGACAGTTTGTATTGATTTCTGAAATAATTAATGTAAGTAGTTTATTAATAAATACTGGAATATAAGCTTGCAATGGTATGAGTACTTCAGATTATCTGGGAGCAACTGGAAATTTTTCAGTATAGTAATTGAAGCTGTTCTGATTATATATTTATACCATTTAATTCAGGCACACTCAATGGAGTCAATATATTTATCAGAAGAAATGGTTGCAAATGTCCATGCCTACACTTTGATAAAAATAAAAATCTCAGCCCGTGTTTAATCAAAATAAACTTTGACCACAAATGTTAATTAGGTCTGGAATGCAACTAAGGTATTTGTGCATATGATAAGTCAAACCTCATTAGATATCCAAGCTAGGGTTTGAAATATTGAGTTGAAGATTTAAAAAAAAAAATGTTAGGAACTTCCAACTCTCCGAAATATATCCATGGTATTTAAGATACATATGTATCCATGTTTAAGATACAGAGGTTCAGCTGTATTTATTGGACGTTTTTCATTTTGGTTATTGAGAGCGCTTGTTTCATTGATCAAGACATTTTACCATGCATGTATATACTGTGGAGGTACTTTACATATGCTAACTACGATCTTCAACATATTTTAAAAGACAATTTTAGACAACATTAATATAATAATAATTTTTGAGGCATTGAATTAAGGAATTAATCATGTTATATTTTTTCCTAATTATCTTTAAGTCATTTTCTTACCATATACAAATTTATGTGTGATATGTATACTCTCTCTCTCTCTCTCTCTCTCTCTCTCTCTCTCTCTCCAAAGTACCAACTGAATTTTCGTTGACTCAATGTATTATTTAATAAACAGGGAGAAATGGAGTACTGGCGAGTAAGTGAGACACTTGTGTTACAAATTACACTATAAGAATATATTTTAACAACAATGAATTTAAAATTAAAAAGAAGCTCAAACTACATATTGTTTTTTTTTTTTCACTGATTTAGTTTGTTTGACCTCTCCTCACTATCTCTGCATTATTTTCTTCTTTGTATGCAGCATTCTAATTTCCACACATTTAAAAAGTTTGAGTTTGATTTGAAATGAGTGTCATACATTGGTTCCACATTTTATGATTGCATTGAAATTTACACCCCTTCCCCCAAGATATGAAATTTGTGAGGAATCACCATATCCATCTGTCTGTCCGTCATACTGCTTGTCATTGTAAGTGGCAATAACTTTATCATGGAGAGACCCCAGAAGCTGATATTAGGCACAAATGTTGTTTATGTCTGATAAATGTGTTATGACCTTGAATCAAGGTCATTTGGACAAGGTCACTGGTTTCCAGAGTGTAAAATTTCTGCCCAAGGCATAACTTTGTAATGCAGGAATAATTGAAGCTCTTAATTGCTAGTGTGTCTTGACCCTAGGTCAAGGTCATTTTGGTCAAGGTTACAAGATTGAGAGGAGTAAGTGTTGCTAGGTCTTAGCAAAATGATGCAGAGATTCCAGAGGCTTGACTCAATGGTTTTTCATGATTAAATACTGGTACTATGAAATCAATATATTAAATAAATTTGGAGAAAGTCAAGGGACATAAGTTGGCAGTGATTTGTTTGTTTTTTTTTTGTTTTTTTTTTTGTAAATTTAAGAAGTTTTTATATGCAGATTTTTCCAACACATTGCATGTTTGGACTTTGATTGGCTTATCACAGTTGTCTAGATCACTTGAGTCACTTGGGTGACTACTACTATCTGTTTTAGTCCCTCGTCCTGCATTTTGTGTCTGGTGTGTCATCCATCATCATAAACTTTTGAGCATTTTCAGCTTCTTTTCTGAGACCAATTTTAACCAACTTTGGCATATAGCATCTATGGGTAAAGGAGAACAAAATTTTGTATTTTTGGTCCCTGTCCCCATTTGGTCTGAGGGGTGTGGCCAAACCCAGCAAAATTAATGCAATCTTTAAAAAATCATCTTCTTTACTCCTGAACATCAAGCAGTCAAATTGCTGCGTAATTGTAATATTCATTGGGCCCTCTACCAAGATTATGAAATTCATGGTCCCAGTGCATAAATTCTTTAAAAAGCTTCTTATCTCCTCCTATATATTTAGCACAAACTAAGTGCATGATTATGATGAGAGCAAGAATGTTTCATCCAAAATTGTGAAATTCCTGGTCCTTGGGTTGTGGTTGTGGTGTTAGGGAGGTGGGCTTCATTGATTATATAGTGAAAATGCATTAATTCTTTGAAAATTCCTTTCTGTCTTGGGTATTTATGAAATAACAAAGTTGTGTATGGATATGATGAGCAAGAGTGCCTTTTCCAAAATGGGTCATGGGTTCTAGTGTTAGGGCAGGGCTGTATTGACTATATAGTAAAAATGCATGAATTCTTTGAAAATCTCTGCTCCTGGATACTAAGTGTTTGGTTATGATGAGCAAGGGTGTTCAAAATTGTGAAATTCCTGGCCTCAGGTTCAGGAGTTCTGTTGCTAAGGTGCATGGAGCTCTACTGATTACCAGGTATGTGATGAAATTGTATTAATTCTTTGAAAATCATCTTCTCAGCTCCTGCATAATAAAAAAATATGGTTATGATGAGCAAGATTGCTTCTTTCAAAATTCTGAAATTCCTGTCCCCTTAGTCAGGTGTTCTGGTGTTATGGCAGGGTTCTATTGATTGTATATTGGAGAAAATACACTAATTCTTTGAAAATCTTCTCTGCCTCTGGGCATCTACAAGGCAAACAGAGTACAAAGTTGTAAGGAGCAAGGGTGTTTTTACTAGATTTGTGAAAGAGCTCAATTGTTCTTGTAGGGTAATTAATACCTTGCCAGGTACTTTGAGAGACGTTTACCCAATTTTTTTTTTATTCACCTATGATAATTAATCACTATTAATAATATAGAGCCAGGTAAGGCTAATAAGATAGGTCAATTGAATTAAGAAATTAAGCAAGAATTCTTAATGTTCTCATATAATCAGGGTTCTCATTAATGCAAGAATCTGTGTCCTAGACGCAGCAAAATTACTTGGGATGCAAGGTTCTTAAAAACGATGCGTCCGTGGACTCATGATCGGACCCATCCTTGTTAGCGAGAAAATTCGGGTGATTTCGAAAACGGGGAATTTAGATGTTAGGATTTGTCAAAGAAATATTTAATCGAAACCTTCCTGTAACTATCATAAAGTTTATCCAAGAAACAACTTTTCTTGTACTTATTTCTCTTTTTTTAAAAACAGGGATTGATCATAAGATATTTCATGTTTATTAGTCCATAGTCATAATAGTGTCGCATGCCAAACTCCGACTGCTGTAAACACACTGCAGCTTTTTTTAAAAAAAAAACACTTTCCAATCTTGAGTGCTATCTACATGTAGAAACCCATCCTCACAATGTCAAGGTTTTGTGATTTTGGAACTCCACACAAACCCTTGACATAAGTCGCTATTTAAAAATTGGGCTAGAAAGCTACTATTTCATTTGTTCCTGGTCTAGGACTGGAACCAATCAGAAAATAGCTTTTATTGTAGGTAAATTTTGTAAACAAATATGACTCATACTTAAATGGAAAGTGGCAGTATTGTAGGATTTGTGACTAGTTACTTTAAATGAAACATCGCAGATAAAATTTTTGAAGGTCGTCCTCCTTACAATCACATAAGATATGCTCTGGAAATGGGGAATTTGATAACGACGGATTTGAAATATATATTCTCATTCACCCATTACGTCATGTGTAACCACAAGCCCAACTTTTAAATAGTGACTTATGTCAAGGGTTTGTGTGGAGTTCCGAAATCACAAAACTTTGACATTGTGAGGATGGTAGAAACCATAATTACTGCTTGTATACACAATGCGGCTTGATTATCTCGTGAATTTCACCCAGTGCAGACAACCGACAGGATTAGTTACGCCTCATTGCACATGACACCTGTGATTGTATACAGTCAACTTTTGGGTACTAGTTGAATATGCAACAGTTAATTTTAGCTTTATAAACACCAAGTTAATTTTTATGGCAATTGATTACGCGTGTATTTTAGAATATGGCTTGAATTCATTACCAGTTTATATACTTGAATATGTTAATATTGTGTAAACAAACTGATAAAATGATAAAGATTTTTATTGATGTTTGGATAGAAGGATACTGCAATAATTTATGTGGAACGCAACATAATTTTTCTGGGACGCATCAAATTTAGCTGGGACGCAACCTTCTCAAAAATCTTGAGTCCTGGGACTTAAGTCAGCAAAATCCTAGTGAGAACCCTGTATAATACAAAAAGATGTTTAACAATAGTTTTTAATGGTCATGTAGACTTGTAAACGATTATATTTGTTCATTGAATATACTAGATCAAGAGAGGCCAATTTGAGAGGGATTGTGCTGGGTGTACTATATATGTATACTGTTTTATGTCCTCAAGCACTGTTGTATTGTTTAGTCTGGTGATAGTGACATAGGGGAGTGTAATACTTCTGGCAAGTACAGGCAGGTAAAAAAATCTACTTTATGAATTATTGCTGAGTACTATGCTATTTTGTTGATCTCTGGTTGTCCTGTTTCTCTTGTTTTTCAGCAACATATCCTCGCTTATCAGTTTACGTTTTTTATTGTTACTTCTTTGGATCCTTTACAGGGTTGTGACATACTCAGGTGACCATTAAGGCTCTTGAGCCTCTTGTTTTGTCTTGTTAGGACAGCTTTTGTTGTTTCTATGTATCCTGATATTTCATTAAAAAATCAGAAAATGGATTCACGATTATCTTTGAGGTCATAATTTATTTGGACTGTAATCTTTCATATGATTTTCTTAAGTCTTTTTCTTTTCTGGTTAGCATACTGACAAAGTAATGTATGCTAGAATTCTGCTTTATTCTGCAAAAAAGGTTGTATCAATAAATGCTTAATTTTCAATGTTGACAGTTTTTAAATTTTTGGGGTATAGTAAAACATTCAAACATACTGAAAACCAACCAACTACACGAAAATGTATAGAGGAAAACAAATGATTTGCAATTGTATATTTCTCAACAAAAATCACTCATGTATTTGCACAATCACATCGAATTTCAGTGTTGACTATATCACAATTGATATTAGATTTAATATAATTGACTACCGGTAATTTACTTTACATATAAATGGTCTCTGTTTTCAGAGCTTGTTTGAGCAGTTCTTTGCTGCTGAGGACTACGGGATTTTTGTTCGACTGATGATTCAGAAAAACATTGAGTTACAACAGCAGGCTCTAGCAATGATTATGCAGATGCAGGGAGCACTCCCTGACAGCCTCAGTGAGGGGGCACCAAAGGCTCCCTCCTCATCATCACCCCCTGCCCCCTCCAATGAGCAGTATGGGGCACAAAATGAGGAAGAAATCCTAAAGGCTGTGTTAGAGTAAGGCATAATGCTTCATCATTTTACATTCTATTAAATGAGGTCAGTAGAGAATAAAAATATTTTAAAATCATCTAAAAGGGAAATCATTGCTGATTAATAGGTAGTTTATTAAAAGCTCGTTATGTGTGATATTTTCACATCTGAAGCAATATACTTGTATTGTCATTAACAATGATCTTTGCAGTCCAATAAAAAATTATTTCTTAATTATTAGACAGTCCAAACGAGAATATGAGGAAGAACAAAAGAAGAAGAAGACAATGGAAGAAGAAGAGATGAAGAAGGAGATGGAGAGCCTGATAAAGATCTCCCAAGTGGAGCATTCCAGACTGGAAGAGGAGAAAAGTAAAGAGAAAACCAAGCTAGACCAGGTCAGCATAAAAGAAGACAACAGAATTTAGTTCTTTCTATGTACTGCCATTGTGCTTAAGCTCAGATTAACTAAGACATCTGACTCCAGTTAATTGCTTGTGCATCTCAGTTAAATGGTTCTGAAACAAGTTCTGTCTTTTAAACCAAACATAAGTCTTGACAAGATCGCATGTTTTAATTTGTGTGTGTGTGTGTATATAATTATATACAATTTTAGAAGATCCATATGCACTGTATTGTAGGCTTTGTTTGGAATGACATTGAATGAATCAGCCCCACAAACCAGTGTATCCAGTAAACCACCAGCAGGAAACACCAAACCACCGCCAGCAAAACCACAAACAGATCTCAAGTCAGCGGTAATTATTACATCACTAATAAAATCAGGAAACACCAAACCACCAGAAGTAAAACCACAAACAAATCTCAAGTCAGCGGTAAGTATTACATCACTAATAAAATCAGGAAACACCAAACCACCACCAGCAAAACCACAAACAAATCTCAAGTCAGCGGTAAGTATTACATCACTAATCAAATCAGGAAACACCAAACCACCGCAAGTAAAACCACAAACAAATCTCAAGTCAGCGGTAAGTATTACATCACTAATAAAATCAGGAAACACCAAACCACCACCAGCGAAACCACAAACAGATCTCAAGTCAGCGGTAGGTATTACATCATAATAAAATCAGGAAACACCAAACCACCACCTGTAAAACTACAAACAGATCTCAAGTCAGGGGTAAGTATTACATCATAATAAAATCAGGAATCACCAAAGCACCACCAGCAAAACCACAAACAGATCTCAAGTCAGTGGTAAGTATTACTTCACTAGTAAAATTAGGAAACACCAAACCTCCACCAGCAAAACCACAAACAGATCTCAAGTCAGCTGTTAGTATTACATCACTAATAAAATAGGATACACCAAATCACCACCAGCAAAACCACAAACAGATCTCAAGTCGGCTGTTAGTATTACGTCACTAATTAAGGTGGAAACACTAAACCACCACCAATAAAATCTCCAGCAATCACAAAGTATAAATAAAATACAATAAATCATCCAATAAAATGAACTGCATGGAAGTGACAGTGGTGACTCCTCCATCTGCAAGTACATCTCATCTAGTTACTACACCTGTTAGACAATATATTGGGAAAGTTATATATTTATCAGTTTAAAAGGAATCATGTGCCTTTTGAATCAAGATAGTTCAGTTACCTGGATGATTTCTTTCAAAACATTAATGTTTCTTTGTATTTTCCTCTGTATAAGTTTTGCAAAAGTTGGTGTTGTAGTATTATACTGGTCTTTATTCCACCACCTAAAAATATATACTATCAAGTGGGAGAGGGGATATTTTCCTATTAAAGGAGTTAAAGAATTGGTCATGATGTACATATGAATCTTTCTTTTCATATGTACATTTATGTACATGTATATACTAGTAATGGTTACCCAGCCAGTAAATGCATAGTTATCTAATTCTGGAGAGAGCATCTTTATCACTTCATTATCACTTCTGACATCAGATTTTACAAATTATTATCCCCATTGCTTGTATGTATTAATGTGTATGTGGGATTTTAAACTTGGATGTGCAGGATGCAAAGAATCAGGTCTGCATATGTTAATCTGGTCATACAAAAGTGTGGGTTATCTAGGTCAATTTCAGATATTGTAATCACCATAATTTATAATTGTAGAAGGGAGGCTATTGGTTATATGCCTGTCTGTTTCCCAATTAAAACTTAACATTTGATTAAGCCAATGTAAAGTTGTTAATGTTAGAGGTATGGGGGAAATCGTTGAAGTACATAACAGCACACTGACACAAAATATACCACCCTTAGGGTAGATGTTATGAGTGCATGAACACAGAAAACAAATTCATATTTCCACATCAGTACTGAAATTTAAATGTTTTCTCTTTGTTTGATGATGAAGTGAATTTTCACATTAATTTTTTCTTTCAATTTTTTCCATTAACGATCTGTATTGTTTTCCATGAAATGCAAAATATCCCAGTGAGAAGGTTCCTTCTGCATATTGTAAAGATCAATTAAACTGCTAGGCCAACATTAAGATGCTTACATTTTAATGTGTATTAGCTCATCTGAGCTGAAGCTCAAGTGAGCTCTTCTGATCACCTGTTGTCCAGTGTCTATCTGTCTACTGGTCTGTTCAGTTATCTAGCTGTCTGTCTGTATACTTTTCACATTTTTATTCCTTCTTGAGAACCACTGGGCCAATTATAATCAAAGTAGGCACAAATTATCCTTGGAAATAAGGGATTCTAAATTGCAAAAATAAAGGCCCAAGCTCCTTTCCAAGAGGTGATAATCAAGAAAAGGCAAAAATAGGATGGGGTCATTAAAAATCTTTTTCTCAGGAACCACTGGCTCAGAAAGTGAGAAACTTGTATGAAAGCAGTTACATGTACATACCATGAGCAAACTTGCACGACTTTCTTTAATATGTTGCACCTCTTGTTTAAGTTAAATTTGACCATTTGTTTAGTTGATCATTTTGTCTTCTGAGGTATATGTAAAGGTATATTAAATTTCATTTATATTTTTCCTGTTTTTAGCCCAGTATATCAGTGACCCCTGCTGCTCCTCAAAGTGTCGCAGCCCCTCCTAAACCGGCAGAACCCGCTGTCCCCACGGCTAGTGTCACTGCGGCAATTGCTTCTCAGAAATTACCACAGGTGGGTCAACAAAAACCCCAAATGTCCAGTGCAGAGGCTGCAGCTAACTGGTTAAAACAGACAGATGACACTCCTTCTCAGAATAAACCATCCACCTCAGCTGTCCATGCTGCTGCAGTGAGTACCGTGTTCTATAATTCTGCATTGTGTATTTGTGATAGGTTCTTCAGTGGTTATATTTTTGATTAAATTCAAAATAAATTTAATAACTACCCGGTAAGCCATCTGCATTGGAAAGACTACTTGTGAAACATTTGCAAAATTTTGGTCAAAATGGCAGATACAGTGAAACTGCAAAAATTCTTTGTCAATTTTTTTTTTCTGTGCTTTGTTGAATGGAATTGCAGTAGCTTTAAAATAGCAAAAGATTAAAGGATCTTATTTTAATATTTTTGAACAGCATAAATTTCCCATGCATTACATGTAGAGAAAATGATACTATACATGTATCTAGACATGTTTCAGCTAAGTACTTGTCTTTTCTTTTCAAATACAGGCAGCCATGTCAAACATGAACCCAGAGGAACTGAAAAAGAGACAAGATTTTTTGAAGCAACAAAGAGACAAATTGCTAGAAATGAAGAAAAAAGAAAGAGAAAAACAGTTATTAGCTGCAGAAAAGTCCCAACCAAAACGTCCTGTATCTGCTCGCATGGCCAAGTCAGCCATGGAGGATGGAGTGTCAGAAAAGTCCAATAAACTAAGTCCAGAGGAGGAGAAAAAGATGGCTATGAGAAAAGCAATTGCTGACCGTCTGAAGGCAGAAATGCTGGGAAAATAGTGCATAATAAAAACAGTGACCTATGTGGTATTGACAAAACTTTGATCTGTTATATATTTCCTAAAGGTTTTTATGCATTCGTGGAGAAAAAATGTCATTTTTGTGGTCTTTTGTAATGAATGTGATAGATTTGAATGAGAAATAAATATCAGTTAAAGGGAGATAAGTGAATTTGAATTGACTCGTTTTGAAGATTATCATGTTTGATCTGTATAATGTATTTTGAGGTTTACTACAAGTTGTGGTGAAATGTTTTACTTTATTGCATCATGTGTACATGTATATATTCATGACTGATATTCAAGATTGTTCATTGAGGAAAATAAAAATTACTGGTGGAATAGTATAATGAGCCTAGGTAAAAATGAACCCCCAGTGATACATAATGTATCAACCTTTTAGTCTATTATTTTATTATTAATAATATACTGTTGAGTAGGTACTATGCCCAAACCCTTTAGTTGTTATAGTTCTACTTAACAATTACTAGTATTTTCAGGTTGTGTAAGTTATGTTTTAATAGCAAATATATCTTTAGTGTTCCGAGTTATGGATTATTTTTAAGAATATTGTGTTGATTATTATACAACATAACTTTAATACTGTTCTTGGGTTTAGAGCACAGTTGTATAATATTTTTTAAAGTACATGTACAATAGTACATATATTGTACATGTACTTGTGCCAGTTGTTTTATGTACCGGTAAAGCTGCATATGAGAGGAAGTTCTAAATACATTCAGCTGGATACTGTATTAATTTTTTATATTCTATTATTGAACACTCTATTGTGTTGCTCCTCTCTGTATTGGAATTTTAAAGTTTGGTTGTGAAAGTCTCTCTACTCCAGTCAAATATCACATGACCTCGTTCCTCTACTCCAGTCAATTATCACATGACCTCGTTCATTCCAGTTTTCTCTCATATTAAGTCAGCATTTTTGTAAAATCAAAAGGGTTAGTGCATTAACTCCTTAATCAGACATGCTTCCTACTTGGGAAAATATGTTTTTATCTGGAAAAAAAAAACTTAAATCTTATAACACTCTGGCATTTTGAGAATTTTTTTAAGTTGACTTTTTAAACCTGTATGCAATATTTATGCACATGCATCAATCAATGCACAATGCTCCTTTATCGTTGCAGTGTTCCTGATGAGGAATTGATGTTGAAATTTTTTTCTGCACATACCAAGTCATTATATATAAGAGTTCACATTTACCTTTGTTCATTCACTTATGTAATATTTTTAGTTTGGAGGAGGAAAGTAAGCAGAAGAAGAAATTTTACCAATATGACGTTTTGCTCCTTCAACAATTCAAACATTGATATTTTGTCATTCTTATTTTTTGTTTTCCAGTGATTTGTGTAATATGGTGCTTTGTTTGCCATTATGTTTTTTGTCTTATCATGTATGTATAGAGCAGTGGAGGTTGTATTCTTCATTTAAGTGGCACATTGAAGAGAAGAACGAGTGGTTCACATTTCCTTATATGTTAATTACTTCAAGATTTCCGAGTAGTACATCTGACTGACAATTAGGGGAAAAAAGATTCATCATATGACATTTGGTTTATGAATTGTAACAGTTACTGGACTTTTTTTCTATTCTGAATCACATATTTCAGATGTGTAGATAAATATTACTTGTATATAAGTCTCATATATCATAATTAAAATCACTATTGTCCAAATGATAGGCAGTATAACAGATTTCTTTGGCTTGTAATTTTCTTAATTTTATCCTTCAAATGTACCATTCAATTTTTTTTTTCCAATCCAGTTGCTTTGTGAAAAAGCGAATGATGCAATTTAAACCTGAATACCATAAAAATTTGAAAAATGCAAAATTAAACTTATACACTAAATAATGTAATAAATTGTATAATCTACTACAACACATAAAAATGGGTCTCTTTCTAATTATAAAAATCCGATCCTGGAAGAGTTTTACTGAACTATTGTGTGAATATTTTGTTGCAACATTCTTGACATAAAATTCTGTGATAATAAATGCAATTGAAATATTTTATGGGTTGTCATTATACATCCTTACTATTCCAGTTGGTAAACATTGGAAGCTTTCTGAGGAAGTGTAGATTCTAAATTGTTCAAATAATAAACCTGGGGATTAGGGTGGAACCACAATAGGGGATGATAGTTTTACATTGAAATATATATGAAAAATCTTTAAAAATCTAAGAACTACTGGGCCAGAAAAGGTGAAACTTGTGTGGAAGCTTTCTGAGGTAGTGTAGATTCTAACTGTTCAACTCATGGCTCCTGGGGGTAGTGGGGCCACAATAAGGGGGATCAAACTTTAGCATTGAAATTATTTTTGAATTTTTTTTTTTATTTAAATATTTTCTAAAGAATCACAATTGAACCATAAATTTGCAAACATTCCATTGTTGTGTGAATTTAATTTTTTTTTTTTACATTATGGACCCCAGGTTCGACTTGATTTCAATTTGGATCAAATTTTACATAATGCATCTATACAGGAGAGAATTTTCTTCTCAATAACTGCAAGACCATGTTAGTCATATTGATATTGAAGCATCCCCATGGTGTGTGGATTCAGAGACCCCTTAGAGTTGATGTCTTCTAACCTTGTACCAAGTTTAGTTGCAATCCAATCAAATCTGTATGTGGAGTAGGATTTTTAAAGATTTTCACGTATTAACTTAAGTAGCTATAACAAAACTGATGAATAAAATTATGTGTCTTAAGGTATTCTACTTGTGTGCCAAGTTTGATTGAAATCAGACCAAAACTGCAGGAGGGGTTGCAATTTAAAAAAAAAAAAACAAAAAAAAAAACAAGATGTGTTTGTGAAACGTATGGCAACTTATAGCAAATGTTAAACTTTCTCAAATGCAAATCAAATATGTTGTTATCTAAAGTAAAGTCTTGCCTGTAAAATATGAAAGCCCTAGCAGCAACCATTGAATAGATATGGAAAAGGTTAAAGTTTTTTCAAAAGTATGTCAAACATCAAGGTCAAATGATCAAAATTAATGGTGCCCAGGGAAAGGCTTTCTCCCAAGAAATACACAGGTGAAATATGAAAGCCGAAGCACCAATCATTTAAAAGTTATGACCAAGGTTAAAGTTTTCTAGGTCAAACTCCAAGGTCAAGGTCAAAGGGTCAAAGTTGTTGGTATCCAAAGGAAGGTCTTGTCACAAGGATTAAACATGTGAAGTATGAAAGCCCTAGCACCAACCGTTCAAAAGTTATGGTCAAGGTTAAAGTTTTTCAAAAGTAAGTCAAACACCTAGGTCAAGGTCAAAGTTGTTGGTATCCAAAGGAAGGTCTTGTCACAAGCATTACACAGGTGAAGTATGAAAGCCCTAGCTCCAGTTGTTCAAAAGTTATGGCCAAGGTTAAAGTTTGGTAAAATTTTACAAAACTGGGTCAAACTCCAAGGTCAAGAGGTCAAATATGGTGGTACCCAAAGAAAGGTTATGTCACAAGGACTATACATGTGAAATAAGAAAGCCATAGTTCCAACCAATCAAAAGTTAAGGGCAAGGTTAAAGTTTTTGCGGACAAACAGACGGAAGGACAGGGCAACAATTATATACCCTGAATCTTCGATACGGGGGCATAAAAAAAGAGACGGACAATAGACAGATGGACAGAAGACACCTTACCATCACATAAGCTTTTTTGGTCTTTGACCAGCACATCTAACAATGAAGACCAAAAACATTTATCAATCAAAGACTACAAATCAAAAATTCAAATCTCAGTCCTTTAATACATCATATCCAAGTCATATAATTCACAAGGGAACAAAACTTCATGGAAAATAGGTATCATACAAACAGGTACGAAATGCTGATCTTCTGGAAACTCCTCTGTTCTTCAGTTTAATACCTTATACTGAAAATTCCTGTCTAGTGCCTTTACAGTTTCCTCCATTCAATGAATATAAAAACCTAATACATATATGTAAGCAGTCATTCAAATTAGCACCATAGTTCATCAGATGAACTTGACTTATTTGTGGATAGTTTAAAACATCCTTTAAGTTATCTTTTTCTCCTTTTTTTTGCCGGTGGTTCTGTCATCTTGGGGTCTTTTGTGTAAGATGTATCAGCTGTAGAGGTGGATGGAGCTGAAAATCACAAATATTCACTCGATAATATTGATCTTCATAAGAATTCAGGACTAATGAACAATGAACAGAGATCCGTGAAATACTACTACTATATAAAGGCCATTAGAAGATTGTTAAGAAGCCTTTGGTTGATTAATACTTGTCTGATCTCTCAACAATCTCTGAAAGTCTCAGAAAGTCAGTTTTTGTGTAAATGCTAAAGGAGATCATGATGCGCTTGTTGTGTGATGAAAAATTGAGGATATTGCTAGAAGTGGCAGTCTACCACCAGTCTCAAGGATCTTTCCAAGATTTCGATGATCTCTCACGAGACATTAATCTCCTGTATTTTTATTTTTTTAACAAGGACGTGATGGACAAAACTATTCAGAGTTTTTTTTCTCCCAGACAATAAAAAATGCTTACAAATTACTGCTAGTAAACTTTACAGTTTACTGAAACTTCACGTTATCAACTTATGAATTTCACACATTGATTTCTTCCATCCAAAATTTAGGGTCAATCAAAATGTCCCATTTTCCATCACCTTCATTCCTTGACCATTTTTGTTTGTGGCAGATATACACAATGTTTTACAATTTAGTCTGCATATATTTCTTCCAAATTGACATTAATGCCTGATAGAATGCATCAAATTAATACTGCATATGAATGTATTGCATTTTAGCCCTTTCATAGTAACAACACTCAATATATAATAGCACACATTTTCCTGACTTTTCAATGACAATGAATACTGTAAACATAGATAAATTAGCACACTCAAAATTTAGCACAAATGTTCTCTTCATGTGCTTAGTACAATCATAAATTAGCACACTAAGAGTTTTAACAACAAGTATTAGTTTAATCATTTAAGCATGTACATAAATTAGACAAGAATCAGTGCAAAGGGGTGCTAAAATATGATAACCACTAAAATACGTATGTTTACAGTTCATTCATTACCATAAAAAAGTAAGAATTCTATCAAATGATTTTACAGGACTTCTAATCCTCAAACATGAAATTACAATCTGTAAGGAAGTGTATGATTTCATACCATCTTGGTCTTGAGATGATGAAGCAGGAGTATTTGCCCTTGCATCATCTTCGGTGCTTTGTTTTTCTGTCTGTTTTTGAGCAGCTTTCCATAAAGCACTCTTTACAAATCTCTTTGATGCTGATTTGTCAACTCTTGGAGCTTTTGCTCTGTCTTGTATATTTTTTGCTCTATCCATGTAACTTTTAATTCTTTCCTGAAAGCAGAGATACCATTTATAATTAAAGCTTGCAAATGAAACTTAATGTACTGTGAGCCCCACCCCATACGAGTATAATGGCAAAGTCCATGTTTTGTTATGGGAAACCCAAAGATCTCCCCAATCAAAACATAAAATAGGAGGTCACAATGACACTAACATAACTAATATAAGGAATCTGTGAAAGTCTCATCAAATCTTATTCAGTGCTATAGGAAGAGTTGTGGATAAGAGATGTCTACCCCTAATTATTATACCCCCATGGTACATGTATAAAGTGATGGGGTGTCCATCCTTCTGCAAATAAGTCCTTCTGTTTATACATCCTTCCATCCATAGGGAAGGATGTATGGACTGAGGAACAGAAGGACGGACATCCCCATTCTGGGGGGGGGGGGGGGGGTAATCTTCAAGTATCAAAATTGATTTCAGTATTCAATATTGACCACATTACTTTTCTTGTAATAAGAACGCAACTTTATTTTTAAAACATTAACATGTATATTACAATATCACAAGTCAGTGTGGAGGTGTTGCAACACTTCTAAAAACAGAACTAGAACCAAAATAGAGAATGAAAAAAGTTACCAATTCTTGTTTTATGCCATGTTCTTTGGGGTTTACTCCACAAATATTTAGGTACACTGAAAAAAAAAATAATTTACATCCCATGAACTACAGTATAACAGAAGAGTAAAGTTGTGTCACAACTGAATCAAAAGGACCTAATAATATTACAAGCACAATTTAGACAGGAGCAAATTAGGACTTACCCCAAAATAGTGAATTGATAGAGTAAACTCCTGCCAATTCTAATTTTGCTTTTTCCATTGCACTTATCTGAAAAAAAAAAAATGCAAAAAAATTATATATTATTCCCTTGATACATGTACAAAAGGGATCATAGCCAATTGAATGCCTGTAGATTAACTGAACAAAATGTACCCTAACTTAGAAGTCTTCAGTAGGGAGGTTTTCTTCCCCATAAATTTCCTATTTAAAGCAAAACTTCAGACCACTGTTTTGACCTAAAATCCTTGTTCCCCCCATAAATCAATATGAGATTTGGGTTCATATTTGGGTTAGTCCTTGCATACCACCTGAGAGATAAGGGTTAGTCTCGTGTTTTTTACAGATTGATTAAGAAATTCAGTTGCATCTGTATTTTTGTGCAAGATCCTTCAGCTTCAATGATATCTCATTAGTTTGTTTAGATGAAAAAAATGGCTAAGTATGAAAGAAACGGCACTAGGCATGCGCTGCACATGCTTCATTGACAATTATTTATGTCAATTTTTCACTGAATAAACAACAATATTTATTGAATACTTTTAGAGAACAAAGTTAAAACTTTCTTTAAAAATAAAGTTTTAAACTACGATATTAACCATAGAATTCGATTTTGTGGTCAAAAAGGGCCAAAACCCCATACTTTTTATTTTTTCAATCACTCACACGATCTCCTATATACTGAAGTTGCCTACGACGACACTATATTCTCGAGTTTTTTTCTGGGGACGGTAAAAGTCAAGTCTTTCCCATTTGTTAAATGTTTTTAGAGAAAGAGGTAAACTTTTCATGGTAGATTTCGATGTTGGGGTCAAAAAGGCCCTAAACCTCAATTTTTATTTTTTTATTGCTCTTGAGATCTCGCAGAGATTTTTTACTGGGTGGTAAATTCCAGGTGGGAGAGGGGCTTATTTTGTACAGGTGTGAATGCCTTGAGGGCAAGCAGTCTACCTGTGGTTGTTTGTCTCCTAATCCCTTTACACAGGAAGTGATTTAATACATAGTAGAGTACCCAAGAAGTCAACTTTACCTGTGTTGGGATTTTGAGATTATTTTAAATTAGAAATAAAAAGTTGTAAACAAAGTTTAATCTCAACTTTTATTAATTTGTAATTGAATGTGTGTCAAAGCATCCCCACCCATTAAAAAAAATTATTATTCAAAGTAGTTATTGAGCTTTGAAAAAAGTTATACCAAATTTTGATAAATATTTTCATAAAGAATATCATAATGATTTCAAATACTAAAGGTGTGTGTGTATATATATTATCAAACTAAAAATTCCATAGTAATACAGCTTCTCTATTGTTATACCATGTGTGGTAAATATCAAAGGATCAAAAGTTAATTTGAAGGTCCCCACAAGTGCCAAACAAGGTGTACAGGGTAAACACAGGCACTAGTAAGTAAATGTCAATCAACTTCTAGCATCCAATGATGTATCTTAATGCACTTGATTGACAGCCCTCCAGGGTACACAGACCTGTTATTCTGCCTTTAAATAAGAATCTCCTACAGCTACTATATATTTTAGCGCGTTTTTCTGTGGACCGGTAAAGCCGTCCCAAGAAAATATGTCATCTTCGCTAAAAATAAAATCTTACCTTTTCATAAAGCTCTGACTGGTTTGTTTTGAGCAAAGGCTGGAAAACAGTTTCAATCTGTGTCAACGCTGTATCTAAGGACGCCAGTTTTTCTTTTAACTCATCTGGTATACTTGATGTACTTCTGGATTTTGCCATGTTAAATTATTGCCTAATTTTAGTTAAACAAGTTCATATTTTCTTTTCAGCCTAAAATACAGGGAAAACAATGTGGCTTAACAAACCGGAAATAGCTTGATATGAAATAATTTTAGACATATCAAAATAATGGTTTCAATCCCGGAAAGATTACAATCATAAATTATGTTTTTGAACTACTACACATTTTCTCTCCGTGGTAATCAGCTAAATATGCATTGAAACAATTTACTACAAAGAAGAAGAAGAAATTTAAAAATAAATAGCTTACAGCACAGAAGTGTTAAGAAGCACGACTTATCTAAAATACTCGAACCGGAAGCATATTACTTTGGATGTGATGGCGGGAATACGAAAGTAACAGACTGTAAAAGATTAATGAAATATGGCATCTATTTTAGAGTATGTGCTGAGCGGAGAACTGCTAGTGGATGCTCTAGTGTCTTTCCTGAAACGAGATTTACGTGATACTGGTTTTGTACCTAAAGTACGTGATTTCACGTTCACTGTGAAAAAAGGGGGAGGGGTAAAATTAGATTGCAGCGGTAACGTGCTTTTTTTTTCTCCAGTTACCATGGCATTACCATTTAAATCATTGTATGTAATTATTCTGCAGAGGTGTCATTTAAAGAATTTTTCTCATAATTGAAGAATGCTATATAACGAGATGTTTTTACAAAGTCTGTCCTAATATGTTACTGTTTATACGTGTAATTACACAAGACGGATTCATTTCAGGAAAACATTCCAACACAGCTGACAGAGTTTCAACATATTCATCAAGAATTTATTCCCTTCTTCTTAAATTATCTTCGAGATCAAACAATACATCTTCTGCAGAGTTCTAAATCAGCAACCCCTTCTCCTGCCAAAACCCCCTCAGCTCAGAAGTTAAAGAAAAGCATAAGTGAAAAGAAAGGTTCATCATCCTCTAAGAGAATTCAGTTGTTTGGTGCCAGTCCTGGGGATGGAATTGATGACATTAAACCTACGAGTGGTTCCTTTTTTTCCCCTAACACGTCGATCGATGCTAAACCTCCAACTCTGAATACTCCTACAAATGAAGGGATTGTGGGAAAAGACAAAAAATCTACTCCAAAGGGTCATTGCTCTGTGGAGAGGAATCAGAATTTCTCATCTGTAGGTGGTAGCTCTGTTGACAGAGATCATAGATCTAAGGGTAGTAGAAATACTACGCCACATAGTGGTAGCAAAAATAATCAAGATGGTAGATCTAGACACCGATTCAGTCTTGGAGAGTTCATAATATCTCCAGAGGTTACATGTACATCTGCAAACAAAAGAAAAAATTCTCCATATTCATCAGGAAGGAGAAATGATAAATCAGATGAAAACTCACCCTCACCTGCTCCAACTAACCTGAAATCTGGAAACAAGAAACGTCATTCAGTTGAATCAGGGAGTCGCAGATCATGTTCCCCTGCTCCAGTGTTTAGTTTGGGCAACACTGATGAGTTTCCACCTGTAGGTGGTGATGGTAAACCAGTCACTCCAAGGTAGAAATTACAGTAGTTTTTATTTTAAGACAAAGTTCATATGATTGTTTGTTTAACTCATGTGAGTTGCCTATATTCATATTAAGTTTTAAAACTTTTTTCACATTACAATGAATGACTGTTTTTGAAATGATGATATGCTTTTTCATAGGGATGTCAATTTCACTCAGATATCCTGGTTGAATAATTGGGGGTTTTATTTGAACAATAGTTGATTACTTAATAAAACTATTTTTCTCATGTCAGTTTATGTCCTTCTCAGACTGCTTGTACATGCATATGAATATTCAAATAAAGCTACCATAACATACAAAGTATATGCATTTCTAGATACAAATAGTAGCTAGAAGAAATATCTGTGTCTAAAATGGTATTAATTTTTTTTTTTTACTGCATATTTTATGTCTAAATACATGTTTTCAACTACTGTCGAATGCTATGACTTGTCAATTCTTTTCCAAATGCTAATATATGTAATCGATTAATCTTTCATGGGAAGCCATTGAATCATGTCTAACTCAAGTTAAATTATTGTCCGGTGGCTGGTAAACAGTTGAAGTGTACTTTATATCAAAATGTTAAAAGCTTGCTTTAAGTATTGATTTTGCAATTTTATGCAAACACGAAATCCGGTCATAAAATTGATTCATATTAGATCTAGATAGACATGAAAAGAAATATCAAAATGTACACACATCTATCTGCCAAATTATACAGGTATGCTTGATTATGTAATCATTCATGTTAAAAAAAGATAATTTGGCCCACATAATAATTGACAACTATACTTTTAATGAGTAATTGAGTGAAAAATAGTTGATAGTCAGTATTACTGAACAATAGTGGAGTACTCGAATACTCATTGAAATCCCTACTTTTTAATTATTCCTAATGGTTAATGTACCATTTTATAAAATGTACATGTATGTATCCACATTGTTCACCTCTGACATTAAGTTTGATGTCGTTTGTGCAGAGTACCATGTTTTATTTACAGAATGCATGATCTGGCAGTGGAAAAGGGAAATTTGACAAATATGATCTTAAAAAATTCTCCTAACTTTGACAACACACCAAGAGCAGTGAAATCCAACCCAATCACAAAATCTCGTAGGATAAGTTTCACCACAATACCACAGGAGGGATCCTCAGAATCCCCTGCCCCACCCTCCAGAAGAATAAACCCCACCCCAGTGTCTGGGAAACCATTCAGGAGACAGACAAATGCCTTCATAGAACAACAGGACTCAGAAAACAAGGGCAGCAGCTCTAGTTTTGACCAGAGTCATTTAGAAGAGGAGAGAGAATTACTTAGGTAAAATTTATACTCACTTATAATACATACATGTGCATATACTTGTATGTGTAATTGATAAGGAGTCCAGAATAAAGGAATACATGTGTATGTTCATAAATAGATGAAAGCAAAAAAATATTTTCCTTCAGGTCAGAAATGCAGGTTAAAATAAACTCCAATTAATTTTGCAGGAAAGAAAAGGCCAAGCATCTTCAAAACAAAGTTGAGAGTAAGTTAGATGACTGCAGCTCAGCATCCTGTAGTACACCAACCAAGCTAGCCTTGGATCGTTCAGTCAGCACAGTGGAAATAGTTACTGCTGACATTAAAGAGGTCACACACAAGATTGAACTTGATAAATTGGTACAGCTGTACTCAGAATGTCTCAGTGGTAAGATCAAAAAGATTCAATCCAGCTGTAGTTTTATAACCCTATATGTGATAGAGAGGAAGTTTTTAGTTTAAAAAAAGAAATTGTCTTCTTCTTTTTTTTAACAAAGTCTGCTGTTAATGAATAGGATGCATGTCATATGAATTGCTACATGAATGGAAGTTACTGTCAGATGCTATCATTTTTTTTTTTAAATTAAAAAAAGTATAATAGCCTGCTGAAGAGAAGGTCTTAAAAAAAGATAGGAATACTTTATTGATGTTTTTCCTTTCTTTCTTTTCATCAATTTTTTGTACAGAAAATCTGTTTCCTAACCTGTCTATGGAGCTGTACTTCCTGATGCAGCTGCTGACGACCCGTAGTGTAGACCTGGAGTTGATAGCTGTCTGTGGAGAAGGTGGGTGTTACAGTGTAATGTCCATACTGTGTTAATTTTGTCTAGTGCTCTCACATGTCCATACTATTTACATGATATACAGCTTTGTCTCTCCCCTTTGCTCTTGTCAGTCAAGTGATAATTTTGAAAAAGGGAACTAAGAATAAAGTGTACATGATATGAATAAAGTGTGCATAACATGGCTGATAATTTGTGTTCTTTGCAGATGTTTTGGAGAATAATTTCTTTTGCTCTGTCCACAATGCTGTATATTTTGCTGTCGGTGTTTTGCAAGAACAGAAAAGGTAATAATTATGTTTAAAAAGATATTTTTTTTTTTCAAATGATAAGGCTTCTGTCATTATCCCATCAACCACCACCTGTCATTTATTTCCCCACAAAGAAATAAAAATGAAATTGTGATAAAGTGAAAATTGATTAATTTAATGGATGGTATTATCTAACCATGGCTAAATACTTGTGTGTGTGTGTGGGGGGGGGGGGGGGGGGTTGGAGACACATAATGAGATCTTTTCTGTCTTCTCCCCTCAAACAATTTAATAGCTACATGTTTTTAATGATCAATACAACAGTTAAACTTGTATTTATAATTGTAAATGTTTATGAACCAGACACAATGAATTCCACTTGTGTGGTAAATAAACATACAATTTTTGATGTTCTTATACAGATTACTTCAGTGTCTTGATAAAGTGACCCTGCGACTGTTGTCAGAGAACACCAGAATTTCTCATTTTTCTCCTGATCTAAGTAATTGGTTATTGACCATTGTTGAAAGCAAGAATCAACAGGTAGGTGAAGATTGTTACAAGTATTTAATGTATACCAGAAACTATTCTGATGTATTAAATGTACTTTTCTGTATTGTGTAGCATCTGTATGTATTACATGTGTAGCACCGTGTATTACGTGTGTAGCACCTGTATGTATTACATGTATAGCACCTGTATGTATTACATGTATAGCACCTGTATGTATTACATGTGTAGCACCATGTATTACATGTATAGCACCATGTATTACAGGTATAGCACCTGAATGTATTACATGTGCAGCACCTGAATGAAGTTAGTGGTGCATCTTGCCATTAACATGTTCAGTTGCATAAAATTTCTGTCAAATTTTTCCAAAGACTTGAAAAATACAATATCCTGCTTATTGTGCAGTAGGGAGAAATGTTTAAACCACGAGAAATATTTTGACAGGTTGGTCCCATTTATCCCAAGTCTCCTATTGGTAGTGTGTCTTTCCAAGCTGAAACTGACAATAGGAAAAACTTTCCTGATGACAGAACATTTCATTTATTCAAAAAACAAAGGTGAGACTCATAATGTTTTTTAAATCTCCTATCAACTGTATTTTATATTGTGAACTGGCTAGTATGAACATACTGTACAATTTAGGAAATTTAACAAATTTGCTATATTGTGTGTGTTTTTTGGGAAAGTCAGGGATTTCAATTAGGGATG